ATCTTGGACATTAGATTCATCGATATTCGACGCCAAAAAATAAAAAGATAAAAACTAAATTCCAACTAAAACTCGTCAACACTGATAATGATTTGAAACAAATTTCTAAAAATACGACGTGCCTCTGTAAATAAACTTGTTAAAAAAAAACAGAACTATTTATATATTTGTTCTACAAACGTCGTGTTTACGGTTAATGTCAAATGAGTCAGAAATACAAACGCGACTGTGTGTCGCGGGTCGGTGATGTCACGAGCGATCCTGGGGTGGCCGGCTTTAGTACAAATTGCTGTCCTTCATCATCGTTCATTCTCCTGCCCTTCTCCCAATCACCTGGGGTCGGCGCAACGTGTTTTCTCCTTCCATAATCCTCTATCATATACCATTTCTTCGCTCACTCCCCTTTTACACATATCGTCTTTCACGCAATCCATCCATTTATTCTTAGGTTTACCTCTTCCTCTATAACATTCCACATTCATAGTTAACACTCTCTTTACATATAGGTATAGCATACCCGATCCTGTGGACCAAATGGTAAACAGTCGACGTCGCCCTAACCACGTCAATATGGATCCTCCCGATCCGTTAACGGTGCTTTTAGGTACCTCAAGCACCGGTCACCGTCCTCGCCGAACCCGTCCCTTGCGACGAAGGGCTCGACGAGTAGATTAACCCATAGACACAGCCCACTGAGTTTCTCGCCGGATTTTCTCAGTGGGTCGTATTTCCGATCCGATGGTAGATTCTGCGAAGCCCTGCTCTTGCTAGGGCCAGTGTTAGCCACACACCCGGCTTGAGCCCCGTGAGCTCACCTACATGTTAAGGAGAAGCTGAAATAGCCTCTCAAGGCTAGCAGCATAGGTAGGAGAAAAAAGGTATATTTGTTGTTAAGTTGCAATAAACACCGCAGCTTACATCGAGACATTCAATTCAAAGTCTCGCCAGTCTGCTTTGAGCACTGACGGTTGACAGTTGACGAGAAAACTATTGCAACATTTAATAGCACGGACGACATTACAATATGATTTGACAGCGTAAACTATGAAAAATAAAAACATAATTAATGTTTATGTAAAGGTCGAGGTGCTCTTGTGAGTCCACGTTGGTAGGTACCACCACCCCGCCTATTTCTGCCGTGAAGCAATAATGCGTTTCGGTTTGAAGGGCGGGGCAGCCATCGCAACTATACTGAGACCTTAGAACTCATATCTCAAGGTGGGTGGCGGCATTTACATTGTAGATGTATATGGGCTCCAGTAACCACTTAACACCAGGTGGGCTGTGAGCTCGTCCTCCCATCTAAGCAATAAAAAAACCACACATGACGCTAAATGTATTCTTTGCTCGATCATTCGATACTTAACAGCACCCTAGTTTTATGATTCATTAAATATCTACGTCCGAATCGATAAAATATAGTAATTATAATTGTTAATTAATATACAAATCAGTCCTTGATTTGTAGCTATTTTTAGTTACTCGAGTGACTAATTTATTAGTCAGCACGATTTATTAACCGACTTCAAAAACGGAGAGTTGTTTATATTTAACACCAATATGTGCGGATACCTAACTGGAGGACGGGTGCTAAAGATAGATCATTTTAAATAGAAATGCTTTAACAAAAACCGACTTCAAATAGAAAAAAAAAAAGATATTCCAAAACAAATTAATCAATATATATAAAAATGAATTGCTGTCCGTTAGTCTCGCTAAAACTCGAGAACGGTTGGACCGATTTGGCTAATTTTTGTCTTGAATTATTTGTGGAAGTCCAGAGAAGGTAGATAAATATGAAAATGCTCGAACTTAAATAAAAGAATAACAATTTGTTTTTCCTTTGATGTGTCCCCCGTCGGACGGATTCCTTTTGTTTGTTTTAAGTTTATTTTATACAAAAGTTTAGATCTTTTATTTATCGATTGAGGCACTACGGAGTCTGCCGGGTCAGCTAGTTATACACTAAAAACAATAATCATCGAAATCGGTTGGCGTGATATTGAGTTATTCATCGCGCGCATGAGTTATTCATTTGCCGCGCACGTAATTAATGCAAAATTAAGACTTATATGGTTTTCTCATGGATACCATTACCAGAACTAGACTAAATTGAAATAGGACCACAAGGGAAGCGTCAGCTTTCTAATAAGAAAAAGTATCATCAAAATCGATTCACCCAGTCAAAAGTTATGAGGTAACAAACATAAAAAAAAACACACTCAAATTGAGAATCTCCTCCTGTTTTGAAGTCGGTTAATAAGAATGAGTAGTGTGAACTTAGACAGTTTGCAAAACATACAAAAATTAAATAAGCCGCCCTAAAAGTTCAGGATAACAGCCTCATTTGATTGATTGATTGATTGATTAAAGTGTGGAATGGATTCAGTTGTGTGATTCAAAGAAATATGAAGACCCACTCGCATGGTACGGCACCATGGTCCAACCTATTCTATCGGGATTCTATCGGGAACATGTGCACTAGTTTAAATCGTAGCAGAGACATTTTAATGATATTGAGACTTCATGCCTCACGATTTGCGGTCGTATTCAGACTATGAAGTTTTCGGGTTCCACTTACAACTTAGTACCAGATGAACCGTTCTGAATTCGGCCAGCATCTTAGTGAAAAATATACGAGATTGAACCTTAGAATTATTTGAAATCATGTCGAGTGACGTCAGCGGCGTGCCGTGACAACTAAACGAGTCGTGTGTTCATTGATTCAGTCAGTTATCTCGATGACATCACCGGCACGTAAATGATAAAAGGTCGAGGTTGGACAGACTATTTTGTAATCTATTTAATGTACTACAAGGCGCGCCCGGCGGTGTCGCTTGCTTTCAATTTGTTAGTCTAAAATTTGGAGGGGGGGACATTTGCTTTCACAATCGAAAATTCCGACGAGTATCTCGACTATACAGCGTATTTATACTGTTCCCGAAAATGTGCTTTACCTTTAGCAGCATTCTCCAAAGTTAAAAAACATCTCCAAAAGTTAATTTTTACAGTCTTGTTTGTTTGGTAGTTTGAGCACGACGACGCGTTTACGGCGTGAAGTCTTAGTATTAGTAGTACATTCTATTTTTGTCAGGAATTGCGCTAGCCTACTGAGTTTCTCGCCGGATCTTCTCAGTGGGTCGCGTTTCCGATCCGGTGGTAGTCTGTGAAGCACGGCTCTTGCAAGGGCCAGTGTTAGCAACACTTCTGTTGGAGCCCCTTGAGTTCGCCTACACGTTAGGATGAAGCTTAAATAGCCCCTCAAGACTATCAGCATAGGTAAAAAAATTTAATAGGAATTGCGCGAATAGTATCAGCAAATGTTTTAGTCTTCAAAACAATTTTTATTAAGTTTACGAACTCGAAAAAAAATTTATATTTGCAATGTGCGCAAATATTGTTTTAATCCCACCAGGTAAAGATGGAAATAATTTTTGCAAAAATTTGTATTATCATACAGAATTGTGTGCATTTTTTATGTCTTTTTCTTGGGATCTCCTCAAAGAACAACTGTTAGACAGAAACTTTGTTCTAAAATAATCACTACAATATATATTATTAATAGTAGGTATTTAATTACCAATTTAAATGTACTTTAAAAGGAATAATCGACAGTTGATTCAAATGAGGACAAAGAAGAGTACTTTAACATAAGTGGTGATATGGTAAAGTCACTAAATCAAATGCAAATGGTGCAAGTTTATAGATCTTTCATACTTAAGCAAGTTTCCAAAACCAAACAGTAAAATGTGACCCATTTAATCAACGAGAATACATAATTTTCACTAATAACATTCTTAACAACAAAAGTATATACACACCTAATGAAACCAAATGCTTTTATGAATAAACATTGTGATTAGAAAATGTGAATAATCACTTTGTATTAAATACTCTACCTTATCTGTGAGTCATAAGTAATAGTAATTATTTGAGACTAGTGATTCCTAGCCCCTCTTTATTGTGATTACTCAGTTTATGAGACATAAGCATTTCCTATAGTAATTAAAGGATACAGAAACTTTATCAAAACAAAGTTTCAAGACCAACTAATAAAGGATATGCAACGATAACAAAGTAACAAAACATATCAAGTATTTCTCTATAAGATCATTAGTAGACAGTGAATAATTAACCAATTTCAGTGTGTTACTTACATAACAAATAAGGGTGATCAAGCTCTGGTAATGTATATGGTGACTGAAATTAGTATAATTTCACATTTTTAATTTCGCTAATAAAGAATATGCTTTTGTTGGTATAATTATTGTTAGTGATTTGCTCATGTTGATCCATCCAGAGCAGAATCACTAGCAAAGCAGTCATCCATGTCAATGCTTGCAGTTATACAATTTTGATGGTATCATTAATGTCGTCGTTTCTTTGGACTCCAGTGACTGCTTACCAATTGACATCACAATGTGGGTGAATTAATTATATATGAAATTGGTTTCCAATTTCAAAATACAATTTATATTGACTTCTAGTATACATACTCATACATTCTAACAGTGTATTTCTACTTTCCCTGTCACAACATGAATGTACTGACGTTCGAGCCCTAAAAACTTAACTAATTTAATAATTTACGCATTACCTACGAATCTATGTTTAAAAGAAATCTTAATTCGCGTTGAGTTGGGGCTTGCTTTAGGATCATGAATGTATTATAATAACACGATTTCACAAGAGACCGGGTGCCGGTTTCTGGCAGCAAGCTAGCCGTTATGCGACCGGCACGACCAGCGCCGCGCCCCACCCTACTCTGTAGGTCTTGAGCATACTAATAAGAAAATAACAAACTACATTGGGACTTATTACGTGGTCTCAATTTTATTCCAGACAATTTTATTTTGCGTTTCAACGTATCGTAAAAATCGTAGTAAATAGTTTAATATGAACGCAAAAAGTACACAATAACAAAGTCTTTTTACCGCTTCGTTCATTAATATTTGTAAGAATATTCGAGTTTAAAGATTTAAAAAAAAATTAAACCTTACCTGTTGATCAACAAACTCCCATTAACAGATAAGACACTCAAAAACTAGTTTCTTTGCAGTTTTCAGCACGTAAACACAAACTTAAGTTCGTTCACACAAAAAAGGTAGAACTGGTCAAAACACTGAAACCACGAATCAACCTTTTCACGCACTATTGCACAAAACACGTTCCTTTGTGTGCTGCTTCGTAATTTCTTTTGGGAGTGAGTGTCGTACGCGGAGCTAACCACCACAATAATTTTCATTCATCACAAGCGAATTCCTACGAAACGAGTGGCAGTTGACGGTAATAGTAAGGGCGCGGGCGGCAGGGACCGCGCGTCATCCGCCATGTTAAGAGATTACGTCATCGTGTTTTGTGCTGCCAGACTCAATTAATAAATGATGTATTTTCTGGCAACATAGCATTTAAAATTGCAGTTTACTTCAATGTCAAATCCATGTCACTGTCCCAAGAACACTATTTCCCCGAATGTCAAATACTGCCAGTATTGCCTGTTTTTAAAGGCCTTGGGCTTATTGAGGTATTTTTCATGTTGAAGACAACATTTTTTGTCAAATATCACCACCACATATCACGACTAAAGATGGGCTAATACCGATATTTGTCAATATTAGCTAATACTAATATATTCAGTATGTAATATTATAATACCTTAACTAATACGTGAATATCCTGATATCTTAATATACTTCGATAAAACGGGTAAGCGAGTTAAACCTAATACGGTATTTGTGAAATAAGTTAAGAATCATAGATAATACCCATAAATTAGTTTTTAATAATATAAATAGTATATTGTATCTAGGAATTTGACTACTAAATATTTTACAAGTAATATTATGTACATTAAAATGAATATTATTATTAAATCAGAATTTGGTCAACATTGTACATTAATGTAAACAATTATTTATAAAAACATCAGCTTTTTTACTTTTTCTACCGAAAGACTGGTACGTTGCTCAGAAATGAGTATTCCAGATTTCGAAAAAATCTTCTGACACGGTACTGAAGTGGCTAGTAGGTACACAACAGTTATAATATTATAATCCACGAACCGTTTGCTTAGAAAGTCATTTCGATTCAAAAATCAAACTTTTATTTATATTTTGAGAAGTTCTTAGAAGATAATTAAATACCACCGCAAAAATATATTGTCATCATAATTTATTACGTAAAAACACTTAATTTAGTTCTGGCCGTATTACGTTTTGTGTAAAAATATTTTAATTTATGAAATTGTTAAACAATGTCAACTACCTACTTCCGTTTTTCAAATCATCGTTTTAGAACCAACTAATTCGAAGGGAACAGGAAATAAAATTAAAATAATGAAAATAAAGCTCCCCGATTTTATTACAATAAATGTAAAAATGCACTATTTTGTCTTGAGTAGAATCTTTAGTTGAATCAAGAAATGAAGGTTCAAACATTAAAAAGTACCTAATGCATTTAAAAATTCCCACTAGCATCTTTGACATGTAAAAAGTGCAATACAAAATAGTCCTTAAAATCATAATGATATGTACTTATTTTCATTGATCAGTATATAAACATATAGTTTATCTCACTTACTCTTGCGTATGCAGTATTGTTATGAATGTGATAGACAGATATCCGCGAGACACGTACGGCGTATGCCCGTATATTTTCGTGTGATAGATACTTCGCTAGAAGTAACAGTGTTCTGTGGATAGATACAACCCGACCGATGTGAGTTGGCTAATATTATGAATAAGTGAATACGCATATCAGAATTCGACGGATTACCGATACACGAATACAAGCTGTATTACGAATATCATAATGAATACTAATATATCGGTCTCACCCTTCATCACGACCATAGGAATAAAATATTGTATCTATATCAACTTTGTTTTTTTCTGTAAAGTATTCTAAAACATCACAATTTTGATAGTGTACTTTAAAAAATTAAGAATGTTTTAAGTATTTGATTTCATTACTTTACAAAGTGCAGTTACGTAAATACACTATGTGATCACCGCACCGGGAAAGGCATCCCTGGTTCATTGTAGAACTATTCAATAAATAAACTGCATCATCTATATATAAAGTATACACTTGGAAGTAATCGACGGATCGGGGTTTTATTATTATTATTATTATTTTTATTGCCTTTGTAGGCAGACGAGCATACGGCCCACCTGATGGTGAGTGGCTACCGTCGCCCATGGACTTCAGCAATGCCAAGGGCAGAGGCAAGCCGCTGCCTACCGCTGAATCGTATTGAGCTTTAGAGATAATTTAGAGCTTCTTTTGAAATGATGGCTTGGTGAGTGAATGGCTGACATCTGTGCTAGATTTTAAAGTTCATAAAAAACCATTTAATCACTCATGTGTGGGTTGCGATCAAATAAAAGTTATTCGATCAATCATGATTGTAACGGGCTTATGAGAAATTTTGTGGGAATTTTAAGTATTTGGGGAAATATTTCTTAAGGTTGACATCACTGTAGCTTACAAAAAAAAACTTAAAACTCTTGGATAATTTATTTAAGTTAAAGGATAAAATTTGTTGGAATAAAGATTATTTGTGTGTTTATTGATATTATTTTATTATATTTATTGAGGTTTCTCGTGTTTGTTTCATTATTTGATATTGTGATTGTTATAAATCTGTGAAGAAATAATAAAGATGCAAGGTTTGTCGACTTTATTGTTTAATGGAAAAACACAAAATCTTTGTGACTCAGTAATTTTGTTTTAACTAATCTTTTACAGATACACGTCCGGAATTGTATGAAGAGATTAAATTGTACAAAAATGCACGTGAACGAGAAAAGTAAGAAAAAACCAGCTCAAAACCACAATGCATTACTCACAATATGTTTTCCTTCTCAATAATATAAATTTTTAAATGTCGCAACTATCCTATAAATATTGATTTTTGTTAGGGCATATGGTGCAGATAAGTTCTTACTTATCTACACCACATTATGCCCTATGGTCTCCCCTACTGCCTATTTTTGCAGTGAATTGGTCTTCTGGCTGCAAAGGTGGAATGGGAATCATGTCTCAAATTCAATAGTTCCAATAAACACTTAAAAATAGGTGAGATTGAGGACAAGTTAATGAAAATATGTCATGGTATAGAGACTAAATGCTATACAATTAGTAGTAATGTTTAAGAAGCTTTCCTGCGTCTGCTGAATATCTGAAGTTTCCTACAGCTCATTACCAAACTTTCCATTAATTCTTTAAAGGAATATGCGTCACTCTAAATTTAATTGTGTACATTATACTTAATAAATATCTTGAAACATAAATGTTTTTGTGAAAATGACATTAAATTACTTCTATATTAGATAGTAATCATTATGGTTTGATGGGAGGGACACCCATAACAATTTACTAAGTCAAGATATTATGTTAAAGTTGCATATTTTATGAATGATTACCACTGCACTGAATTCTTTTAAATCAGGCATGATAACATGGCTGAGCTCTATGCTGTCGTCTGTACCCTTCAGCACCTGGAGAAGGCATACATGCGTGATTGTGTGAGAGCACAGGAATACACAGCGGCATGCAGTCGTCTCCTCGTGCAGTACAAAGTGGCTTTTAAACAAGTACAGGCTGATGAGTTTCCCAATATTGAAGCTTTTGTTGCTAAATACAGGGTAAGTTTAAGTTATTTGGTAGGCCAATGATTTCAAGTCCTATTATTTGGTGACTTATGTAAAAGAGTGCAACACATATGTGGGGAGCAAAGCAAACATATATATAACACTTAATAAATATTATTCAAAAACAATTTACGGTATAATCTTGTTCTTACGAATTGTTTGCTTAAAATGAAATATTGTTACTACTGTGTTGGTACAACAATTAAAATGGAAAGATAAACAGAAAAAGTCAAATGTTTCAGATATTCTAATGATTCGAATGTGTATTGACGACTGACAGAGTCATCAGTAATAGAGTATGTCAGGTTCGAAGGTGGGAAGTTGATTGTAGGCTGCCACTGGAACTGTTCTAGAATCTAGAGAATTTGATAGATAGCAATGGAAAGGCATATGCTGCTTGTAAACTCGAAAATCGCATATAAAAGCTATCTTATTTCATTTACACTTAATACTTTTACCCAATACATGTTCACAAATCAATATATTTGCATATCTCTGTGTCGAACTATTGATGGGCACTGATAAATGACATGAAGAATAGTACAGTTAAATAATACAATCAAGACCTTGTCCACTAACTAGTATCATATTTTCAAGTTGGTTTAAAGGGGCACCTTCAATAAAATATATTTGGTATTTGGGATCGTTCTTCTTGTTATTGGTGTTTGTCAAGCACAGCCTCTGCATCAGTCCTAGCACTCATAATATATAAAAGAAAGTTCCAACTTTTCAATTTAATATGTATATAACTATTTAGTTTTTGTCTCATTGTGTTATCAGCAATCAGCACAATATTGAAATAGATCAGAATTTGAATATTTATCATTTTATTTACGTCATTTTAGTTAGACTGTCCTGCTGCTTTGGAACGAATAAGGGAGAACAAACCGAATCTCATCAAGGATGACAAAGGGAACACTAACAAATACATTGCAGAAATTGTATCGGTGAGGTTTTTATTATATTACTAGCTGACCCGGCAAACATTGTTTTGCCATATATAAGATTTCTAGGGAATTTCTAGTGTAGAAAAAAAACTAACTTATTCTAAGTGTGTAAGGATGTGGTAAATGAGTGAAAGAGGTATGTAGTGCTGTGGACGATGAGGGAATATATAATAAAAATAACAAAACCTCATTCAACCACATAATACCTCATTATAACAAAAAAAATGTCCAAATAAAAAAAAAAATGTTAGGGGTGGACAACCCTAATCACTTAGGGGTATGAAAAATAGATAGTAGCCGATTCTCAGGCTTACTGAATATGCATAAAAAATTTCATGAGAATCGGTCAAGTGGTTTCGGAGGAGTATGGGAACGAACATTGTGACACGAGAATTTTATATATTAGATTCAGACTGTTTTTTTTTAAATTCCATGTATTGCTTAGATATAGGAACGAGAACACGATGCTTTTGGTTTTTAAGTGATTCCTGGACTCCATAGACAATCATAACATGAATGTCGCTTCCATTGTAATGACTCACCTTGAGACATGAAAATGAGGTCCCAATTGTATATGTCACTCTAAACTAGAAAGTGTGGCTCCATCATGCCAAAAAGAGGTAGGATAGTAGCATCTACCCATTCTGGCTTACAGTGTGGTCTACCACTAGGCCCTTTCTTTATTAAATTCCATAAATTATTATCATTTTCAGTTATTTATAACCTTAATGGATAAACTGCGTCTAGAGTTCCGTGCAATGGACATGATTCAGCCCGAACTTCGTGACCTTCGCGACACCATGGACCGGCTCAGCATGCTGCCTGATGACTTTGAAGGGAAACTCAAGGTAACTCTGACATACTGACCCATTAATGATAATGAATAATTGAGGCCTATAAAATCAAAGGCAGCTAAACTCCTTAATGTAGTAAAATGGCGCCATCTTTTTTAGTTAGTTAGACACACTTTAGTATTTTGATGTTATAACAAATGCAGCTTAATCTCTAGAAAATTCAGTTAAAAAAAAATATTTTTACTCTGTACTGAAACATAAACGAAGTTTTATCATTTAAAATTTAGATTATTAGTAATATTTTCATTCTTTGTAAATCTGCTTTAAAATAAAGAATATCGTAGCTACCCGAACAAAGTTATTTCAGCCTCTCAAACCGGGGGTGTTCCTAACACTGGCCCTAGCAAGAGCAGTGCTTCGATGGATCGGAAGAATCCGTAATAACGTGTTTAGGGCCGATTTTTGTAGTTTACCTGAATATTTGACATACTTGGATTTAGCTGCCTTTGATTTTATAGCCCTCAATTAGTCTATGTGAATAGGAAAAGGCAGAACAGATAAGTACAATTTTTTCTTGGTTTATCAAATGATTTTTCGACGTCGCCCAAAACAGGCCATTACGGATCCTTCCGATCCATTAACGGTGCTTTTAGATACCACAAGCACCGGTCACCGTCCGCGTCGAACCCGTCGCTTGCGACGAAGGGCTCGACGAGTAGATTAACCCTCAGACACAGCCCACTGACTTTCTCGCCGGGGCTTCTCAGTGGGTCGCGTTTCCGATCCGGTGGTAGATTCTGCGAAGCACGACTCTTGCTAGGGCCAGTGTTAGCAACTTCATTTTAGTTCAATGAAGCTGTCCTCATTGAACTAAAATGTAACAATCAGGACACGCTGTGGCATTAATACAGCTATGTAACAATTAAACTTGGCTACTTGAAAAGTAACAAAAAAATACATGTGTGTAATTCACACGTGGTAGAAGTGAAACCTTCAAAAGTTAAAATACAATTGTCCTAAATGTCTAAGTATATGTAAAATTTTGTCATTAGTAATTGTAAATCGTCTTTATAGTATGAGGTAGCGCCCTCTGTGAATTGATATTTTAACTTCACGTATAATCCTAAATTAAAATTCACTACAAGAGGTTTCATACATAAGTTAGTATTAAAAATCTCATAGATGGCGCTGTATTAAAAAAAACATGTGACTTATTTTTTTTGTTTCATCGAGTTTGAAATCACAACGGTTCTAAAGAAGTTTGACTTCAAAAATTTACCAATATATTTTGTCATCAGGTGCAAGAGTGGCTAGATAAGTTATCTGAGATGTCAGCATCGGATGAACTGTCCGAAGCACAAGTGCGACAGCTGGTGTTCGACCTAGAGACCTCATATGGGGCTTTCAATAAATTTTTACACAAGGACTGAATTTTATCAAGAATAACTTTAATCAGGTAACATAATTAATTAAATCTATATATATAAAAATGAATTGCTGTTCATTAGTCTCGCTAAAACTCGAGAACGGCTGGACCGATTTGGCTAATTTTGGAATTAAATAAAAATAACAATTTTGTTTTTCCTTTGATGTGTCCCCCGTCGGACGGATTCCTTTTGTTTGTTTTAAGTTTATTTTGTACAAAAGCTTAGGTCTTTTATTTATCGATTGAGGCACTACGAAGTCTGCCGGGTCAGCTAGTTTAAAATATTGTTATAGACAATGATTCTGAATGAACATGATCAGTTTTGAGGGAAAATGTTATATACCAACTTCACAGCTGAAACATTGTACACAATCTATTTATGCTGTCATTACAAACTGTCTCGTGGATGCTCTTTTCTTACTGAGCACTGGAATACATAATTAACCGAACGTATAACTAAATCAAAGATGTGTTTTCATGAACATACATTTGTTACAGATATATTGAATACTGCTGGAAAACTTGTATTACGAAACACATGTATCAATGTAACCTAAATATTGTTTATAATATTAAATGTAAGCTGTCATAATAAACATATTTAAATCCTTATCCGACTTTCTGTTACACATAGTGTGTGAAAACATTTTAGTACATGGAAAAGATTATTTATCTCAAACGAGTTCATTGCACACTGGTGTTAAGTGTGTACCAAAGCTCATAGGCATCAACCTGAGTACTGTTATTGTTTTTATTTATTTTTATTGCTTAATCGGTACACTAGCTCATAGCCCAGCTGGTGTTAAGTGGTTACCCGAGCCCATAGACATCTACGACGTAAATGTGCTACCCACCTTGAGATATAAGTTCTAAGGTCTCAAGTTACAACGGCTGCCCCACCCTTCAAACCGAAACGCATTACTGCTTCACGGCAGAAATAGGCACGGTGGTGGTACCTACCCGCGCGTACTCACAAGAGGTCCTACCACCAGTACACACACCTCTATGAGATATAATTTTACGACAAAGTTGCCTTTTACGATACCGACGTGATGAGATAGAGGAGCTGACTATTCTAAGCCAACACAGCAGAGTCCTGAATAACATAAATACATATAATTCATTGTAGGGTCTGTTTTCTTCGCTACTGTCAAACTGGAATAAAAATCTGCCACAATTTTTACTAGTAGCAGGACGTCTTGTGAGTCCGCGCGGGTGGGTACCACCACCCTGCCTATTTCTGCCGTGAAGTAGTAATGCGTTTCGGTTCGAAGGGTGGAGCAGCCGTTGTAATTATAATGAGATCTTAGAACTTATATCTGAAGGTGGATTGGTGGCATTTATGTTGTAGATGTCTATGGACTCCGGTAACCACTTAACACCAGGTGGGCCGTGAGCTTGTCCTCTAAGCCATACAAAAACAATGTTCGCTCAGTTCGATGATCTTCCTTTCTATAAATATATGTAAAAATAATCAAAAACACGAAATGATTTTCAGAAAGGTTTCTAAGCCCCATCATGAAAAGAACAAAAAAATATTCAATACTAAAATATATGAAAGAATATATTTATTTAAATAAAAACCAATGCTTGTGTGTATGTTTGTCCTCTCCTCCTTCTCGCTTCTGTTTCCTCAATGCCGAGGGTCGCGACCACCTCTTCGCAACGAGAGTAGGTAATGTGGATCACTCTACGCCAGCGGTCGGGGAACCGGGGTAAATTACTCCAAATGGGGTAAAATGAAATTTTAGGGGGTAAAAATGAAACTTTTGTGAGTAAAAAGTGAAGTGAAACTTCTTTAGTATCGTTGTGATTTCAAACTCGATGAAACGAAATGAAACGAAACGAAAAAATAAGTCCATACAGACACAAACACATAAATGTATAGGATTCAGCCGGCGAAAGAATGAGATATTTTTTCCTCAACTGTATATTACATATATTACTATTATTACCGTTATGTATTACTAGGTATTACATTGATAAATCGAATAAATGATGTTTAAATTAAATTTTGAGTTATTGTTTCAAAATTAAAATTATCATGGGGGCTATAATATGAAAGATGCTAAAAAGAAGCGATTTCGTTTTTTTTTGTTCTTCGCCATGGGGTAACATCAACTTACACAAAAATATTTTGGGGTAATAATTAAAAAAGTTCCCTGACCGCTGCTCTACGCCATTTGAACGCGTTCGGAAACCAATAATTTTATGGTAACAGTTATTCGCTGTAGCATTCGAAATGTTTATAGCTAATTATAATTTTATACCGACAGTGCTCTCTATCACCTAAGTCCGATCGTTACGTATATTAGATTCCACCGATCCTTCTTTAACTTAATCAAGCAACAATTACAACAATTACAATTGAGTCCGCACGGGTAGGTACCACCGCCCCACCTATTTCTGCCGTGAAGCAGTAATGCGTTTCGGTTTGAAGGGTGGGGCAGCCGTTGTGACAATACTGAGACCTTAGAACTATATCTCAAGGTGTGTGGCGCATTTACGTTGTAGATGTCTATGGGCTCCAGTAACCACTTAATACCAGGTGGGCTGTGAGCTCGTCCAATCTAAGCAATAAAAAAAAACCTTTATAGAAAGGGGATTTGTATTTATTAATAGAAAAATAAGATTTATGGCGATGACATTTGAGACGAACGGCGCTAACGATAAAAAACTAATAATTTGGACACAAAAAATTTATGGAAGAAAACGCTTTCTTTTAAAAAATAAATTTGACTAGGTACCTACTTGATTCGTAATCAGTTCTAAGTCTAAATCAATTTAATGCTTTAACAACATTAAAAAAGTTCTTCAGATGAAAATCTAAATAAAATTACGGTTATTAAATTGTAAAATTAAATAAATTACAAATTAAATTCGTTGTTGATTTTAAGTTAATTTTCCATCTGTGGATACAAATGAGTTTCTATGTGCTGTGTAATCTGTATGTATTCTCTAATCTGTCGACCACTATTTACCTACTGTCTTGCTTTTTGTGATTGGTTTTATTTATCATGTTTTGTTTAGAAGTTTAATGAAAAATCTCACAAAGATCTTTCAATAATGCCTCAAATCGTTCGAGACATGTTTCAAAACGGCATAGCTTATGACGAGCCGGATCGAATGCCCGATAAGATTAACATTCGGAATCTGGACATTATTATGTATGTTGTAGCTATTTTGGGTCATTTTGTCGACTTAGGACTCGATATAAATATTGCTGTTAGATATTCGTTGGCTGGAATGGTGACAGAGTTCGGCTGGACCCTCGCCTTTATTCTTATACCTGCTTTTGTGAATACAGCGGTCTCGATACGAATGTAAGTACTAATTTCATTATCATTCAAATGTAAAAGTCGTTGCGTCAAGGGAGGCCCGGCATACCAAATACCAAACTATTCGATTGTGCCGGTATTAAAATCTCGCAAACAGACACCAATTTCCTAATGAGATACGTACTTAACCAATATCCACAATAAAAATGAATCCTGCATAATCATTTAATTTTATAATTACTAGTGGTAGGTCATATTGTAAACCCACACCGGCAGAAGTAGTCATGCGTTCCATTTTGAAGGGTTATGACAACCATTGTTAGGGGGGTAGGGGTGTTAATGGGCTTTGGCATTTACATATCACTAGATGGGTTGTTAACTCCTTCACCTTTTTTATTTTTTATTTATTTATTGTCTTTGTAGGCAGACAAGCATTCTGATGGTAAGTGGGTATTGTCGCTCACGGACGTCAGAAATGCCATAGGCGGAGCCAAGCGGCTGCCTACCATTAAAACCTGCCTAAGAACAAATGTATTTGTTTAGATACTACAGTAATTAGTCTATTTTTAGGTTGTTTACAATTGAGTGTACTTATTATTTAAACTACATTCTTCATAATAGACGTGCAAATTATCATCTTTAGTGATAACTTCTGGTCAGTTATTTGTGATTGCAATACTTTAAGGATGTTATAAGAATGCTGGGCTTTCTTAATTTATAGCTGATTAACTAGTAGTGGATATGAGTTATAAAATCAAATAATTTGTATTAAAATATAATTGGGGCTAATTTGAGATTGGAATATTCTAAAATTCAGTTTTACTAGTAGGATGTCTTATGAGTCTGGACAGGTGGGTACCACCACCCTGCCTATTTCTGTTGTGAAGCAGTAATGCATTTTGGATTGAAAGGTGGGACAGTTGTACTGTTAAAACGGTGACCTTAGAACTCATCACTCAAAGTCGGTGGCGGCAGTAACATTATAGAAAAAAAGAACATTGGTAGTCATTTTGCACATAAAACATGTTATGTGATAGAGCCTCTTATAGGTATATCTTGAGATACTAAAACAACATTTTTATATTCAAGGTATGCCCAAGATAAACAACAAGATTCACTAACAAATGAGCTGACAAGGAGAAAATGGGTTCGAATCTTCATACTTGTTCTACAGATGGCTCCGATACTTAGATTTGCTGATGCTCTAATGTAAGTTATTTTTATATTATATTTTATTATAACACTTGTAATTTAAAGGTGATGGACAATTTCTTTATAATAGTGTAGTTTGCCCCTAAGTATCACACAAAGGCACACACCACAATGTGTGTTGTGGAGTCCATGCAAGGTTTCTACCATCTTTCTACGTCGTAGTTCTGTGGTATGGAGCCACCATAGGCTCTCATGAGAATTGATTGGAAATATAAATGAGGCTGACCTAGATAGGTATTCCTATTGTTACCAGAATAACTGTTCATTCATGTTATACTATAAAAGAAAACCTACAATATGTTGGTTGATATTAATGTATTTGTTTACTAAACCGTGAGAGTGTATATAAAAAATTGTCATATTGTTTAATTATTTGGTTAAGTTATGTTTACACACCCCTCTGTTAATCATCAAGTAAGAGGTCTTATATAAGGAAAGGCCATAATTTCTATTATTTGATAATTATTTAATTTTAGACCCTCTCTCAGTTACAAGAGACTCTATTTTGCTTCAGATCATCAATACTTACATGCTGACTGTACTAACTGCATTAATATAATATTGGTTTTAGTTATGCTATAAAATCTCGACGAGCTGCAAGCAGGAAAGATGTCGCATCTCAAAAGTTATACTTTGGTCTTATGCTGAAAGAAGACTCTGATGCAGCATTGCTCCGGATATTTGAGTGTTTCCTGGAAGCCGCACCACAACAGGTGCTACAAACCAGTCTGCTGTTGAGAGCTCAAGAGGAATTTGCTGGTAAGTTTGATATGTTTTATTTCAATTTGTATTCTTTTTTAATTCTATTGTTTACTTAAATGGGTTTAAATTTACAGCTTGTCTGTTGTCTATGATTAAATACATAAAACTAAAACATTTATTAATTACTTGTAGCAAAGCGATTGGAGTTGATACTATCTCTAGTGATTTGTGCCATAAATTGATCAACTTCAAATGATGCAACCCTGTGGCTACATTTCTACAGCTAAGTTTACACGCATTCCAAGTTCAGCAGTTACCGCAGCTACATACGCCTAAATCCAACCGTGCTGATGTGTAATCTTTCATATCGATTTTTCAGTGCATCAAATCCTATCGATAGTTTCATCAGTGGTGGGTATGGGTTGGTGCCTGGCTGCGTACCAGCGAGCCATACGGTTCGCTCAGAACGACAAGTCCAACATGACTTGGTACGGGACTATACTGCAAACGGTTTGGCACTTTCTCGTCACGTGTAAGTAAAATTATATATTACAAAATACCCCGTAAATATATATTATTAACTAGCTGACCCGGTAGACTTCGTAGTGCCTCAATCGATAAATAAAAGGCCTAAACTTTTGTATAAAATAAACTTAAAACAAACATAAGGAATCCGTCCAACGGGGGACACATCAAAGGAAAAACAAAATTGTTATTTTTATTTAATTCCCAGCATTTTCATATTTATCTACCTTTTAAACCTTCTCTGGACTTCCACAAATAATTCAAGACCAAAATAAGCCAAATCGGTCCAGCCGTTCTCGAGTTTTAGCGAGACTAACGAACAGCAATTAATTTTTATGTATATAGAAGATTATCAAAGCCAAAAATTTTGTCAACTCTAGTAAGCTGTCATATCAGGGAACAAGATTATTTAACAGAAAGGCCTATGTACTTAATTTACTTAATAATTGTCTACTTTAATAGTTTTTTTTATTTTCCCTTCATAAATGCTTGCTACCTCAATGCAAGGATGTCATAAGTACTGGCTTCAAAAAAATGTGAAGTTGGAAAAAAATTGTATGTTGTCAATTTCAAATCTTCTAATCGATATTCTATAACTGTTTCGAGGTTTTTTTTTCAAATGTAGGTACATTCTGTGTAGTTTACTCTTTAATTTTACTGAAATAGGGTTTGCACATCAGTGAAAATAATAATCTTTTTTTATTTTTCTGGGACACATAGTGTTACTACGGTTCTTAAATATTGTGAATGGACTCGTTACAAGGCCTCATTTGACCTCCTTTCGGCTTTATGGGTAGTTCTGTAACACCCTGTATATTGAAACCAGCGCTCTTTGCCTGCACGATGTAGTTATTGGCTTTTTTTTTTATTATTTAGATGGGTTGACGAGCTCACAGCCCACCTGGTGTTAAGTGGTTACCAGAGCCCATAGACATCTACAACGTAAATGCGCCACCCACCTTGAGATATAAATTCTAAGGTCTCAGTATAGTTACAACGGCTGCCCCACCCTTCAAACCGAAACGCATTACTGCTTCACGGCAGAAATAGGTAAGGCGGTGGTACCTACCCGCGCGGACTCACAAAAGGTCCTACCACCAGTAATTACGCAAATAATAATTTTGCGGGTTTGATTTTTATTACACGATGTTATTCCTTCACCGTGGAAATCAATCTTGAACATTTGTTGAATACGTACTTCATTAGAAAAATTGTTACCTGCCTGAGATTCGAACACCGGGTGCATCGCTCAACACGAATGCACCGGACGTCTTATCCTTTAGGCCACAACGACTTAATACTTGGATAAATAATAGTGACAGATTTCAGAGTTGTATGTTGGGAATGAGTTGCTCGTTCCGGGCATTTCAATATTGCAATAATTGTTACGTTAATATATAATATTAAAAAAAAAAGACATGCCCGCTGAGTTTCTTGCCAATTCTTCTCAGGACGGAGGCTAGTTCTTGTGAATTGGCGGTAGTTCTTTTTGACGTTCAACAAGTGTGTACTTTCATTTATGTTGAATAAAAATTTGTTGATTTAATTCGATTTGATATTCGTTTGTGATCTCCACAGTGAGCCGCATATCGTCTCTGGCCGCAGTGGCTTACCTGTACCCTCACTGGACGGTCGTGGCGTGCTTGGCCCACGTGGCGGCCACGGCGACCCTGCTGCAGATGTTTGACCGGTCAGACTTCTGCTCACAGAACAAACTGGCCGAGGTGTCCTTCTCCCTGGCCCTGGGAGCCGTCTATATATTCACGTACGTGCTCCCCGTGGAAGGGAGGACCAGACACAGATACGCTGTATACTACGTCGTATGCTTCATCCAGAATATAATATGTGCTTCGATATGGTTCTACTATTCAGAGGACGAATTAAAACAATCCGTGTATTTCGTACCGATTCTGGTGTTGTGTATCTTGCCATTTATTATTGGCATAAGTGTAATGGTGGTGTATTATGCGTTCTTTCATCCAAAACTAGGGAGGAATAAAGATGATTCGGCTGTCTCTTTTAAAGTCGTCGACCAGGTTGCTGAGTTTAGCTAGTGCTCGATTTAGGTGTTGGAATAAAATTTCAGTGGCCATATTGAAAATGATTACAAAACATTTCCATAATTAAGATCTGGTTTTGATTAAAAATCTCAATATCTTTATAGTCTTGAGATCTGAGTTTCCAATTCAGGTTTATTTAAAATACAATTACACGGTTTAATTGTTAAAAAAATAATATAATGAATTAAATTTTTAATAAGAATCCAAATTAATAATAAAATAAATAAATATTTACTAACAGTCTCGCCACGTTAACTGGTCCTGTGGTAAGTTCGTAAAGAACTTGTGTTACAGGTACCAGATAACGGAAATAAATGTAAGATTTTTATTATATACATATATTCAATATACATCCATAACCCTGGAAAAGACTTTTATATTTATCATACAAATATCCTCCCTTGGCGGGATTCGAACCCGCGACCCCCTTGTGTAGTGACCATGTCACTTACCACTACACCAGACGGCCGTTAAATATTACATATTAACATTTTTAATATGCATATCGATTAATTCATACTTCTTGTAATTTGGTGCAGTTAGTTATAGTATTGGAATTCAGATAATAATAATTAAAATGTTGATAAAAGGAGAAAGTGTCATTATCTGATCAAAGCGAATGATGCGTTCATTGGAAATTATGTTAAAATTTATCTATTATTACAAGTCTACAAACTTAACATATGAAACCAACGAAGGGTACATAAGGTTACATATTGACTAAATATGTAGTTCTTTTGTAAGTAAATAATAAAATATGGGAGATTGAAGTAAAACTCTTCAAAAACCCACAGTGCTCGTCTGATTTTTATATAAAGTGCAATATACTTGTGCCCAAGTGAGCAAGTTGGGCATCATGCACAACAATGATTTATTTTAAGGTCATTCACAAAAATAGAAAGTGTAATGTTACAATAATATCTTTATTAATGCTGTCACATTTATATAAGACCTGCAGTTTAATTAAGTTACTTATAATAAATATTCTTTGTGTCCGATATATATTGCCTAATATGGTATTGAATAACTTCATTGTCTCTAAACAAGTAATTATTGTGTATACAGTAATATTTCAATGCATTTCGTGAATCTTAGAGAAGGCTCTTTCTGAATTAAGTTTTGTATTAAGAATTGTATTTTTTTAGTTAGTTACTTACTTACTTACTTAGTCGTTTGATTAAAATCCAATACATTTTATGGGGGTAGTAGCGGTTATTTTTATTTTATTATGTAAAATTGCAACGGTTTTTAGAATTCAATTCAATAATAGATCTCAAAATACATATTATTATAAATAACGCAAGAAACAAAAACATTGTATTGTGACTTCGAAGAAGCCTTAAACGTAGGTATAGGTACTTATAAGAATATTTTACGTACGTGATGAGACGTATCCACTCTTTATAAGATTCGCTGTTGTAATGTAAGGTGCCAAAAAGATATTGCATTTATTGTGAAGGCACAAAGTTAAAATAATCGATATATACAAAAATGAATCTCTGTTTTCAGTGTTCAAATCACTTACCTACCATGAAAAAAAATGTGTTAAAAAGGCGATTACAGAATTATGACATTACGATCTGCAAGAACTTGTCAACCTCTCGAAATAACTAGGCGTTAAGATGCATATTAGTATTAATAATATAAAAGACTGTGATTCAATTTAATGAATGAAATGTATATTTTTGTAACAATTTATATTTCGCTGAGCGAAGATATTGTCTCTGATTAATACTAAGTTTTAATAAATAAAATACTCGAGGTTTTCGATTGAATTGATCCAACGTGTGAACGGTGTGCTTAGTGCGAGTTTTCTAACGTTGTCGATAGCGTGAAAGTTAGCTCATATTTGTATGGAATGGGATCGTTTGCGTACGTTTGCCGCTAGGGGCGCTGTTACAATTGCATACGAAATTGGGTTAACTTTTACGCGATCGAGAACGTTAAGAAACTCGCACTAAGCACACCGATTGTTCTGAATGCGAATACAAACTCTATCCAGTTTTTTTTTTATCAAAATGTATTTTTGTACTTCACGAATAATGGTGGAAATAAATGGATGATATTTTTACATTTTTGTACTTGCCAAATATTTGTAAATAAAACATTTTTATGCATTTTTTTTTTGATTTACTGATCAACTGCCTTACGCGTCCCCGTCACTGTTAATTAATTCCCTACAATGAAAACTAAACAATGACTCGCATCGCCTTTTAAAGTTGATGGCCTAGATATTTTATCCGAGTACATAAAAGAACTAAAGAGATCTAATTTTATATGAACTATGCGCAATGATAGGTGGTGCTCACGGCACTATTTCTGCCGTGAAGCGGTAATGCATTTCGGTTTGAATGGTAGGGCAACCCTTACTAACCATACTTGAGACCTTAGAACTTGTATCTCAAGGTCGCTGGCGCATTTACGTTGTAGATGTCTATGGGCTCCAGTAACCACTTAACACCCGGTGAGCTGTGAGCCCGTGCACCCGTTTAAGTAATAAAAAACCGACATAGGACACAAACACTATATTCGCAATATGACTATAAAAATAAATTACAGTAGGTAAAAGCTTTATTCGCGAGGTTTAAATTCCGCAAATATGCCGAATACAGAAACCGGGAATATGGAATGGTATTTTTTTAATGAGGGATCACCGGTGGCCCAGAGGCCTTTCCAGTTTGACCAGGATGGCGGGTGAGCGAAGGCTCTGCCAGGAGGGATAGCATTTGCTAACAGCTGCCCGAACGCCTCCAAAGGAAACCTAAAAACTCAAGAGCAACTGCTTCGCGAATGAATCTACTACCGGATCGGAATCGCGACCCGCTGAGATCGAGTGAGAAACTCAGCGGGCTGATACATAGGTTACCGGGGTCCCTAAGCCTGCTCCTAGTGTCAGAGCTGAAGGCGTCTGGTGCAAGAGTTATTGGAGCTGATGGATCCGTAAGGACGTGTTTAAGGCTATTGAATGGTAATTTACATGACGCGGTGAAGGCGGTTTATGTCAAATGGGGAACCAATATAGTGGCGATATCATTTAACAACGTACCTTAGGTATAGTAGTAATAAAGTCCATTTTACTTTTTTAGTCTATTTGACGACGCGTTTACAAAGAATATTCGGATGGATACCCACACATTGCAAACCTTTTTATCAATGTGTATGTGTCGATGTACCCGATTAGATCCGTGAATAAAGAAATCGCATTTTTTTATCTGGGAATAGTGAAAAAGCAAATGAGGGGTTTTTAGCGTATTGAAAAACAAAAATCTTTTAATATATAATGTTATAATTTTTAACTATAACAAAAGAATTTGTTTAAACATATACACATAGGGTAGAAAGGTAGGGTTAATTTTCAACTATATTTGTCGCTATCCTGCCATTTCTGCCATGAAGCAGTCCTGCAAAAGCGTGGGACAACTGTGTTATAATACAACCGAGGTCTATGTAGTGATAACTGGCTAACTGACACCACTTAATTTGGTTTGAGAGTTAAAATCCTACACAGTTACACAATAAATAAATAAAACACACTTAGTATGCTACTGCACTTTCAATTCAATACTGTCTGATAGTATCAATTATTTTTCATAATAGTGAATATAAATATATCTTTAAAACATATTCAAAGTTCTAGGTCAATATCAGGTTTTTAATATCAATACAGTTTTAAATCACCATATAAATGGAGCCCTTTCTCTTAAAATTCGTAAACCGTATTTGTTCCATTCACTTTGATTAATCCACAGTTCTATAGCTGACTCCAAGCAAGACATGACTGCAGCCCCCTTCCACACAGTACTGGCAGGATCAATTTCTTTAGGTGATGTCACTATTTCCAGCTGCTCAGTCTTATAAGTATAGGGGATCTGCAGTGCCATACGATTTTGTAGCCATAATGATATACCATGAACTTTAACCCCACCTCCGACAATTAGAATGTTGCTGTACATCTTCCGTTTCAGGTCATCACTGGGACATCGATCTATGCTTTGTAGTATTGCAGCATCTAGGGCCATAACTTGCCCTGGGGCTAATAAAGAAATGTCTCCTGGTCCCCCTTCTAATGTATCTACGACTATGTCTTCATCCTGGTTACTCACTTGTTGTATTTCATTGAGAGTTTCAAATTGATTCTCATTGGTGCTTATATCAATAGCTTCTTTCTTCCTACCAGTTTCCCTCAAAAACTCTGCATCAAATGGATCTTCAGGATCACTTGGCTGTCTGTTTGGTATTTTAGTAGTTTTAGCACCTGTTATTTTCAGTAAGTCAGTATAAAACATTGATAATGGTGATATTATGCATTCATCACCAACTTGGAGTGTATATTTATTGATTACATCTCCTGGGTGATCGACCAAGAATGACTTCTCTTGTGGACCACAAACATCCAAATTGATATGGCAAAAGTTTTCATATAGATTTCGCATTAAAACCACATCTCGTGGTATATTCTCTGTCCAGTCCTTGTACGGAAATGCACTCTTATGAAACATCCATGATAGAGACTGACAGACATCCCCAGCTCCATAGTCCATTCTCAATCTAGTTGGTTTATGAGAGATGCCATCTTCAACACATGATATTGCTGTTTTTTGATCGCCAATGTCCACCACACAGGCCGAACCAATGCCTGCTCCGAATGTAGCTCCAACACTTTCCTGGACTAAGAAACAATGGCCAAAGCCCAAGTCCTTCAACAATAAAGACATTAGATACTTTAAATGACTCCTGCAGTACAGATCTGGTATCAGAAGAACGCATCTATATTTCACAAGTTCTATCAGGGGTATCCCTAACTTAAACTCAATTATGGAACTCCATATTGTATATAGATCATTCAGAACTGATGAAATAGATCCTCCTATTTCAGAATGAAGGTTAAAATCTCCTCTACGGTATGGAAAATGTATGTTGTATGGTAATTCTGGGTCCACATCAAGGACTAGATCACCTACAATAACATCACATTCGACTTGAGGCCACGGTTCCCCGTCAGAGACGTACTCCGGTAACGAACGACGGTTAAAGGCCGCGATTTGCTGCGGGGGAGTTGCGTACCTTCTTGCGCCGTTAGACTGCACACATGACTGAAGAGTATGAGATATTTGAAGCCTACATTCTTCTAATTCCTCAATCAATTCTTTGGTTTTCGGAACGCTCGGTGGTATGAAAGAGTCGCGGTAAATTTTGCCGCCGTGTCTACGTTTTCTTGCAATGCAGTGTAGCTGTTTCACTGGCACGAGATCTGAGGCTCGTCCGATACGTACGTAGAGCGAACCAGGGTGGATAACAATGATTCTGTTAGGCGGAAATTGCTGGAATTGCTCAGGAATGCCGGCATCATGCGATGCCATACTCATTTATATTTATTTATTCTGTACCTAAGCTATCTAAAATTTTTAAATAGCCGTTCCGTGTCTATTTGCCAATTTTTTATCTTTATCAAATTGCAAAATCCACAGTAAAAATCTTATTTACCTATTTGTTTACATTTTTATAACCCTATTCTTTGTTTGGTTTGTTGAATTAAATTTGCAAAAGAAATGTGTCCTATTCAGCCAGTTAATATTGTGAAGCTACAACCAATTCTGTACACTCAAAGATGTATTAAAAAAAAAGTAATGGTAAAAAGTTTTTGAACATTCGTTGTAAGATTAAATTTATGTAGTAGTGATAAGATTACTTTCAGAAGCCTTTTGGAGATATCACAATATACCCTGAAAATTAAAATAAAACTTGATAGTTTTAAACCAAGCCGATGGGCTTATTCTACGTTTGCCCATTCAAGTACCTACACAATGTGGACCGTCGCTTTTCAAAACTGTCAAGTGTTAAATAAGCTTAGACGTCATCCACTCTATCAAGACTTTAAAAATAAATACATTGCAGTTTTTGTAATACAGTATTTAATACCAACCTAATTTACGTGAATAATAAATAATAAAAATAACGATACGAACATGGTGTCGAGAAGTCTGACAGAAGTTTTCGTATTAATGCGTAACAACGCGATACACAGCCGACAAATATTCTCAGAAAGAGTGAGACTATTTTATATTGATTTTATGTGATTTGTAGCATTATTTCAATACTGAGATATTTCTTAGTAACGTAAAGGCCATATGGGTTCAGGAGAAAGGGTGGCATTTACCTTAAAAACGCGACGCATCAATAAACAAAAATTAAAATTTTTTGTCCATTCAAAAATACATAGCAATAAACTGACAACTTTCGAAAATAATCCGCGCCAATGTATTGTTATGGTTAATGTAATAGTCGTGTACAATAAATTGTAGATTTAAAGCACAGATAACATAAATTATCTATAACATTATCAGAATAATTATTAAGTTCACTAATTTTAATCAGAACTAGCCTTTCTTTTTCCATAGTAGTTGTGTGTTTTAAAATACAAATTGCATCATTTTCAATAGCCCATGTTGGTAACCTTCATTTGAGTCTTCTATTATCAAAGGTGGCAATCTGTGCATTTGAACAAGAAAATGTTATTGATATGTCAATACAGATTGATTTGAATATAATCGTCTCCTTCAAAGAATATGGTTCAAAACCTGCATTAAATAAAGGTTAATACTTAACCTGTTATTTATCTAAGATGTCGTTCAGAAGAGTTTTGTGGCTGCCAATGGAATACAAAGTCAATAATTCGTTTTTCTGATTTACCAATAATTGTCCAAAAGTCACATTGCCGGCTTTGATACTAGTTGACTCATTTATTCCTTCTTAATCTTAAATGCCTAGAACCTCAATCCTGCAGCCCAGTAATATTAATTTCTTTTTATTTCTAGAATAATGATTCAGAACGTGCTAGACTTATGCGACGAAGCTCTCATGATATGGAAGCCGGAGCTGAGATGAGAGTTGACTCACGTGCCCCACCGCCCTGGGCTGATGCATTAGAGGAAGCTCACTATGTTATGACTAGGTTAATATACATTCATAATGCTTTTCTGTGGGTCCTCTTCTTCAAAAGTATTACATTAGCCCAATTTGCAGTCTTGTACACTGAGACATTGTTGATTTCCGTGTAATGCTTCACCATTTACTAACGCTATACAGTACTTTAACTAATTACGGCATTAGTACCCCTAGTATTGTTGATGTTGAATAACCAATGTGTGATTACTTTCCATCTAATAGTTCATCTCCATAATGACCTACTATTTGTTGCAGTTAAAACTAATGTACAACTGAATGAATATAATTATTGAATGATTTTACAGCTTAACATCCATAGTGTTTCCAGAGATCTTTTTGCCATGTACCATTCTAAATTTGTTCATTGAAATAAATTTAATTTCATTCTGGTAAGGATTGGTGTCATGTCTCTTTTTCTATTTTCAACTCTTTAACTCACAAGTTTGTGGAAATAATTTCTAAGCTTTCCGCATGGCTCAATAAATAACGTGACTGTCTATTTCATTAATTTTAGAGATACTTCAATTTATTCCTATTATTATTATTTAACTATAATTTTTTCTAAATGATCTTTTAAAAATAATTATTTCAGACTAAAAACTAAACTATCGGAACTAGAAGCTAGACATGAGAAACAAATCAATCGGCCCGCTCTAGATGACTCCACTGAACAACAGCATATAGAGAGACTCAGCACTGAAATTGGAAGGCATTTCACGCATGCGCATACACACCTCACAGCTATTAAAGCACAAATAAGACACGGTATGTATGTATAATTGTAATTGAGTCCATCTGACGTTAGAACCCATGTAGTCCTGTAACAAAAAAGTGCCCTCATAGAAAACCGAAAAAAACTATTCAACATAATACTAATTTTCATAGTGAGCCTGATCAGTATATTAGAAGAGAATTATTAAACTATTATTTGTCTATGATACATGTGATAATTTTCAATTTAAAGAGGTATTATAATTCTGTCATCGGCCCAGACAAAAGCATTTAATACTCTTCTACCAACAGTTTTCTTAGTACTAACAAGCTTATTAGGAATTTTTCTCCTTTGCATTAGACGCCTTCAGTTCTAACAATAGGAGTCAGCTTAGGGACCCCGGTAATCGTACTCTTGGAACTCGACAAAGAGTTCGACGTGCAACCTAACCCATGCATCAGCCCACTGAGTTTCTCGCCGGATCTTCTCAGCGGGTCGCGATTCCGATCCGGTAGTAGATTCATCCGCGAAGCAGCCGCTCTCGAGTTGTTAGCTCTCCTTCGGAGACGCTCAGGCAGCTGTTAGCTAATCCCACCCCTCTAGACTGAGCCTTTGCTCGCCCAAAGGCTTTCAAACCGCCAGTAAACCATCAATCATAAAAGAAAAGAATTTTTCTCAAACACTATTCTCAATTTTTTTTATCCGTATTATACACTCTGTAATGTTTGCCATCACAGGTAACAAAACAGAACAAAAACTAGCAGCCAACGTTGTACTAGCACTGGTCACAACTCTGCAGGAATTGAGCGTGATCTTCAGAACAGCGCAATCGAATTATTTAAAGTCCCTCACGTCCAGAGAAGAAAGGTCGAATGCGTACTTCGATCTCCCGAATTTCGAAGAGTTAAGTCTAAATGACAACGAGCTACCCTCAGGACTCACGGATAACGAAACGGACCTGTTGTTTGCCTTACCGAGCACGTCAGGAACCCAAAAAACCTTCTACGACGAGGACCGAACGGACGATCAGCCTAAGCAGATGTACAATCAGAAACAGCTGCTGCTCATACAGGAAGCCAACACGAGAATGGTCGCAGAGAGGGAGGAAGAAGTTAACAAAGTTGTTAGATCTATAGTCGATTTAAATGAGATCTTCAAGGATTTGGCTCACATGGTCCACGAACAAGGTACGGTTTTAGATAGAATAGATTTCAATATAGAGCAGACGCACGTGCAGGTCAGCGAAGGCTACAAGCAGCTGCAGAAGGCGGAGAGGTACCAGCGGAAGAATAGAAAAATGAAATGCATCATGATACTCTGCGTTGTAGTCGTGGTGCTGTTTTTCCTGTTGATCGTTGTCAAAAGCTAGCCGTAGAAGCCAAAGTTTATGTTACATGATTATTTTTTTTTGCTTAGATGGGTGGACGAGCTCACTGCCCACCTGGTGTTAAGTGCTTACTGGAGCCCATACACATATACAACGTAAATGCGCCACCCACCTTGAGATATAAGTTCTAAGGCCTCAAGTATAGTTACGACGGCTGCTCCACCCTTCAAACCGAAACGCGTTACTGCTTCACGGCAGAAATAGGCAGGGCAGTGGTACCTATTCGCGCGAATTAATTGATTACAGAAATGTTATGTGTTTGTGAAATTATCACACCAATTCGAAAGAGACTAACTTTCACAACAAATTTTCATCGAATACATCTCTATTCAATTTTTAAACATGAGCACTGACGTTGACACAATACCCGCACGTCTCATAACCTCAAACATCAGCGTGCGATCCGTTTCACAACTAATAGATAAAAATTGTTGAGTCTGTACAAATAGTTCATTTTAACTTCTTTTTTTTTCCCAGCTTTTTCCTTACTTTAATAGGTAGCTAGGAATAACCTAATAATTAATTAAACACTAGATTTCCAAAAATTACACACTGAAGTCGCGGTAAAAAGGAAGTTACAAATAAAAATATGTAATTTTTATACACAGAGATCAAAGATATTGATCTTTTATCATTCCATTACCTACCGAAATTGTAACTTGCATAAATCCTAATGATAAAACCCTTTCTTAAATCAATTCATTTTATATTCAATTCATTTATTTCATATTCAATTCAATTCATATTCATTAATTTTCCTACAATCAATTTCCACGCGAGTAAAGAATGTCAGGAACCCTTTTCCGAAGATAAAGATACTTAGCAGTTGAATGTTATATTTCACATTATAGTTTTACAGCCAGACGCACCCCTTGTAATAATAAAAGCAATCTCTATGATGTTACCTAAAATATTAATAAAGGTCACAGACAAATTTCCAAATGTATCTAAATATTGTTAATTTTAAGTGATATCTTTAAACTCTAGTCTTATTTTAGTTATAGAAAAATAATTTATTGTATTTATTGGCTGTAATATATTGTTTCGGTTATTTATATAACGTAAATGTAACAATTACATACCTAATGGCGAGAATGAATTTACTGTGATTATAAAAGTATATTTTAATTCTAGATCAGTTTTTTATTGCTTGCAACTATTTCACAACGGCAAAGTGTGTTCGATTCAATTCCACTAAAGAATAAACTACATTAAAACAAGGTTTATGTAAATATAACGAACTGACTGTCTCAAATTAACAAAACGCAAAAAAAATCTTTACAACTCTATTTCATTAATTTGGTTACAAGAAATTGAACTCCAGATAGTATTGTCATGTGGATATTAGTTAATACTGCTAACTGCCGCCATGAAGGAATAATTTTGTGTGGTAAAGTAAAACCGGTATACGTTCAGATATAAAGTGGGATAGTCGTTGCACACTACCTACGATTGATTTGGAACTCATGTCTCAAGGTGTGGGTCAATATCATATTGCAATGATATGTATGGGCTTCGATATCAACACAAAATAAGTTGGGGCGAGATTTTAATACCAATTAATGAAAACGAACTACCGACTGGGCTGTTTTGTCGAATATAGCTGCAGTTATCACGTCCATTGCCATAGTGCTCAGGAAGACTCAGGAAGACTAAAACAAGGTAGAGTCAACATCGACAAAGTTTACGTACAGTGCAGCAGTATTCCCACATTTCAACTTCTATTAGAACTGACGTCTAATCTTCTATGTTCAGGATTTGAACGCTAGAATTATTTCATGTCGTTACCAACATTGCGACCGGGCGTTTCATTCATTGGGTCTCAGTTTCGCAACGGATAGCTCAAAGATAACCTCTATCTTCCTAGAACAATTTCTAAGAAACCTTGTATAGGTAGGTAACCTACAATTTCCAAACATTAGAGCTGTTGGTCTACCGATTCATAGCTCTTATGAACAAAGACTCGATAGCCAGTGGTGTGAACGTTTTCTCAAATGCACCAGCGACCAAAGTAGGAGTTCTTCTCCTCTTGGGGACAGATTACCGGAGGCGTGGAACTGAAAACGATAGAAGCCCGTTCATTGTAGCAGAACTTTGATAAAATTTATTATATTGGCAGAGGCGTACAACATTTTTCCTATTTTTTAATGATCTTACCGGTGGTAGGACCTCTTGTGAGTCCGCGCGGGTGGGTACCACCACCCTGCCTATTCTATTTCTGCCGTGAAGCAATAATGCGTTTCGGTTTGAAGGGCGGGGCAGCCGTTGTAACTATACTCGAGACCTTAGAACTTATATCTCAAGGTGGGTGGCGCATTTACGTTGTGGATGTCTATGGGCTCCAGTAACCACTTAACACTAGGTGCGCTGTGAGCTCGTCCACCTAATGATGATCCATCCGACCGATTTCGGTCATGGCGACCACTTCGACTCCTATCCGGCGATTTGGCGCTCATGCGCTCGAAGGTGGCAAAACTCCTTGCGCATTGAGGGCACGTAAGCACGTCGTTCTTATAATTATAGATTATGGCAGCAGGAGGGCGGGCCTTCAACTGGTCGCGTTTGTAATCAAGGTCAGCTTTGCGCCATCCTGGCCGCTGTGCTGCCAAGCACTCCCATTGAGAGGGCTCTATTTTACATCTCTTCATGTGTCGTTTCACGACATCCTTGTACCGGAGGAGCTGTCCGCCATGCTTTCGCTTGCCGTCCTGCAGTTCAGAGAAGATGCACTTCGCCACTCTTTCCTCCGCCATGCGTGATACGTGACCGCACCACCGAAGCTGTCGACGCATTAAATATGCCTCAATGCCATCAACATTGGCAAGTCGCAAGACGATCAGCTGATTTTCATAATGGCACTAAGGCATGTAAGTCCACCTATCTATGCAATAAAAAAAAAAGACTCGACAGCCAGTGGTGTGGACGTTTTCTCAAATGCAGACTATGCACGCGGCGACCACAGTGGGGTTCTTCTGGTCGTGGGGGTAGATTACCGAAGGCGTGAAACTGAAAACGATAGAAGCCCGTTCGTTGTAGCAGAACTTTGATGAAATATATTATGTTAGCAGAGGCGTACGATTTTTTTCCTTTTTATTATTTAACCTTGTTAATGTTTAGGTGGGTGAACATGGTCACTGAGTGATGCTAACTGATTATCAGAGCTCATAGATATCGTTACGTTTATGCCACCACCCATCAAGACATCAAGTTGTTATTTTAAATTTCCCGACCCTTCAACAAATAAAGTATAAAACATGTGATAGGATGGGAGGAGAAATGAAAGCATGTCTTAATTGCACTAAATAATTATAATTGTCTGTGATCACAATGTACATCAAGTTTCAGATGAGCGACAGCTGGGGCTGATTATTTGTCACAAAAAAAAAATTTGAAAAATAGAATGTTACATGCAAGTCTAGTTGTGATATTAATTTATTTCAACCGTAGTGTTTTTTACAAATTTTAATATAAATTACAAAGTATGGTCTAAAATTAAAAGTTTTTTTGCAAGATTGCAGTGTCTAAGCAGACAAAACCTGAGCCCAACCAACCCTCAACAGTCACAATCTGAAATATCCACGACACAAAAATATTACAACGAAAAATAAAACACACTTATAATCTCTAAAACAGACTATGAGTCTTTATGTTTATTGTAAAATTCATCTAAATATTTTTTATAGGCAGCTTGGTTCGGCCATAGATATGATGCTTGCTGGTTTAAAGGGCTTTGTGTATTTGGTTCTGCTAAAAGACTTTGGATTGACAACAATACTGTACGTACATCATATAAAGCCGTCCACTTATCTTTTAAAATATCTAAACATATTAAACCACACGTGTCAACATTTGGATGAAAACACGGAGTCATAAATTTGACAACAGGTGGTGCGTATGGGTATGAATTTGGAAATTCAAGTGATAATTTGTATTTGTGGCCTGCGTATACAGTTTCTAAAGGTCCATTGATGGTCCCGATCCATTTGAAGAGGTTTTCGCTTTCAGGGAATGCTGATATTCCTTTATCACTGCACCGCATTAGCTCCATTAGCTCTTTCTGGAGTCTATTAAAAAGAAATATAAAATGAGTTGAATTATGCAAATTATAACACAAAAGTAATGGCATATAGTGTTTTTTTTTAAAGTGCATTAATCTAATAGCAGGTTTATTAATTAAGTAGTGTCTTTGAAACATTTCTAATGAAATGTTAGTTGACCAGCAATGACATAAGTTTCTGTTTTTGCAGAATTATTGTTTGGTAAATAGGATACTGCCATATGTGGAATGACTGATGTTGTAGTGTGAGTGTAAATTTTATATCACTTTCAATATTTTCTGGGTGGAGGTATATTCATTCACATGGTAGTAATTGATATATTCTTCTTTCGAAAATACAATTATGGGCACTGGTGATATAGTTCTAGAGAAGTAATTCTATATAAACAATTTACATCTAGGAATCTCACAAATTAGAAAGCGTCTAAAGGTCTAAGGCTCTTGATGCTATTTAATGTAGAAAAGGTGACTAATTAACAAACCTTTTTAAAAAGTTTACTTATTCCTACCTACTGAACATTTATTATTGTAAAATTATCGCTTTAACCAATGAGAATGCCTATACCTGCTAAAAACTGTGCTTTTAAATTTACCACATTATGTAAAGTGTAATAGTTTTATTTGGTTTATACTTTTTCGGCGCTTTTGTATTACATGCACTAAATGATCATTTACATAATGTGCTTAAAACAGCCAAAACCAACAATAATGCAAGTGAACAGAATAATCGAGACTTTTTCGTGGGAAAAAAACCGTTAGACACAAATCGCTACTTCGATACTAAGGATCAAAATATATTGTATTGTATGTTGTCTACGTGGGTGTTTGCCGTGGTATTACGAAAAAGTTGTGGTAAAAATAATAAAACTCACCGTTTGCTCACAGCATGATTGTCTTTTAGTTTAATCGTGTCTTCACTCTGCTTAGCTGGGTTCGAAGACGACGCGTAATGTGGATTGATGTTTTGAGCCATAATATTTTAAGGAAATCAAATGAACACTTTCTTAAAATAGCAAGGGACACCAATTTTTCAGTTAATCGTCGTCAACTTCCTGTTGAATTTGAAATAGCTACGATTATATTGGTAATCTCGTTATTTGACAGTGCAATGTAATGGCGGCCTTTGTTTGATTGACGTATGAAAAAGCGCCATCTACACGGTCAATTGAAAAAATAATTTAATGCTGATTTACACTAATCTCGAATATGTTAGAAGGTGGTCTGAAATAAATAAATATAAATATGTTAAATAGGTCAAATCAAGATAAATAACTGAACATTATAGTTTTAAACATAAGATTATCCGAATATACTATAACATGTGGATAAAATAATTTCATGTCACAAATAATTTCAAAATGATAATCGCTTTCAAAAGATTTCATTTACCCGCTTTTTTAAGTTTGGCCTAGTACTTTTTATGTGACGATGAAATTTTAAACGTATTAATTTTTGCCTAATACAATGTGCCCGATAAAGTTAAAAAATTGTTTGCGCATTTTAATTGTAATAGTACCTGTATGCTATTTTAAACAGGATTACTAGAATAAAAGAGGCGATTAGGTAGGTATTGATTTTTTTAGTTCTGTTTAAGTTTAGATAAATATGTCCAAATGAAAAATTAAGATTAGCCAGAGTAATATTTGATTAGTTTACTAGACAATTTAATTTTGAAACATTTTATTATTTCATCTTATTAATTACATATCTCATTTCATTTTATCATTACCTAGTCTTCGTAATTACTGGTACGTAGAGAGTGAGCCTGCACGGATAGCTACCTGCTATTTGAGTCATGATAATCCCTAGCTATTTCAGTCATGATGTGTCTTGGTTTGAAATGGGATAGCAACTCTACAACACAATTGTAATTATTCCAAGCTGGGTAGAGTGGCATTCACGTCGGGTGCTTATGGGTTTTGAGTGAGCTGTGAATTCCTCCAACTATAAAGTACAAAAATATCTGTAGTGGAGGCGGTAATCCGAACAACATGGCGCGTTTTTGTTTATTCATATTTTGGTGGGAAAGTGAGTTTCTACTTCAAAGGGAAGGAGCTACTCAAAGCCCATGGCTACAGCTAGACTTAAATTATACTAACTTCAGTTAATGGTTAGCTTGAGCGACGACTAACCAACGAATAAATGTAAACTTATAATTAGCTTAGTATTTATTAACTATATTATTATACAAATCTCTATATCTTTCGCTTTCTATATTTAAAAATTAACACATTGCCTTAATATAAATAATGGCAATTAACTGTAGATGCTCGTTGAGCTCGTCGAAGAGTTCGGCATGAGATTTAGGTGGCCTATAACTTCAGGCCGCCGCTGTGCCGAGTTTCAAGCATAATATTCTCAGGGGTTTGCGAATCTGATCGTGTAGTAGACACTGGCGACTGTCACCACCTTGCTGTTACGCTCGTCTTCATTGCAGGCTAAAATATAATAATTGCATGAGACTTTAAAGACTTCTTACGAAGATCGGGAAGACCGGGAGTTTAACTTGAACAGCATGTTACCGTAATTAGGGTAATTACTCAACTAGTCAACAAATTCTTTGCAAAGAACTTTGAAACTCATTGGTTGCCTAGAAATCGCAGTCTAATCCACTTCGATAAAGCGGCAGGACATGAGAACCCTCTCATCGTGGCCGCCGGTAACTACATTTCCGATCCTGCGGAAAGAATGGAAAGCAGTCGACGTCGCCCCAAACACGTCATTACGGATCCTCCCGATCCACTAACGGTGCTTTTAGGTACCTCAAGCATCGGTAATTGTCGCACCCTTCGCTTGCGACGAAGGGGTCAACGAGTAAATGAACCCTCAGACACAGCCCACTGAGTTTCTCACCAGATCTTTTCAATGGGTCGCGTTTCCGATCCGGTGGCAGATTCTGCGAAGCACGGCTCTTGCTAGGGTTCTTGTTAGCAACGTCGTCTGGTTTGAGCCCCGTGAGCTCACCTACTAGTTAAGGTTACGCTGAAATAGCCTCTCAAGGCTCTCAGCTAGGTAGGAAAAAAAAGCAGTTTATCTTCGCCATCGACGGGATGTCGTGAAATACATTTTGATAATTTCTACTGCCATCGATTGCCTGGTGGTGTAGCGTTACTGTTGTGGCGATTTTGTCTTAACAATTTTCTTAAATAGTGAGTAAATTTTTTTAAGGGGTTGAGTATTGCTATTGGCCCAAAGGCCTTTCAACCTCATCAGAATAGGTGGCTGAGCACGGCCTCAACAAAGAGGGGTAAAGTTTAAAGAGAAAGAGTCAGAAGGTGACCTAGCATCTCAAAGACAGATGCGAATGCATGTAAAACAGTATCGAAATCGCGATCGGCTGAAATGAACCGGCCAGAAACTCAGCGGGCTGATGCTATGCGTAAATAATCGCGTTGTTAGGCTACCTATACAAATCATTACGCGCGATACTTTCACTTTCATTGGTGAATTTAATGTCTACTTGAGCGTGAAATTGGAAATCTGGAACGAAATTATTTAATAATAGTAAAAATAAAAGTTTTGTAGAGTATTTAAGATGCAATACTCTGTAATTACTTTTAGTTTTGAATAGAATTTTGTATTCAGGCACAGTGTCTGACGATAATATGAATATTCAAGTAAGTACTATACTGTCTTGTTAATTGCTTTCTGTTTTCTAGTAGTGCTATTTTCCTTATTTTCTTTCCTTAAGCATCTTACTGATTGTGTGTAACATTAATTTCAATTACTTTAAAAACCAACGGTTTTAAAATACTGATTTCTGTAATCAACGGTCCTTTTGTAAATTAATTTTATTGATCTATGAGTGTGAAGTTTTGTTTTTCACATTGCTTAAAATAAGCGATCCCAAGAATGTTCAAATTCAATAACCACGTCAAAACAGTTTTCTCCTGTGTGCTTACTTCTTTTTTCTAATCAGTTTACAAAGCGATCCCTTCTCATTTTCATTCGTATTTTGTAATGTCAAAAGTCATTGTCAATATCAATGTGTCAAATTAAAGCAGTGAATTTTCATAATTTCTTGTTTGAGTTTTCTGTGTACCTATATAATTTTTGTTCGCAATTACCAGTACCAGTTGTAACAGTAGATTTGAATTCTCATAAACACTATCGTAAGATTACCGACGTACGCATAATTAATACATACAAAATGGAAAGTCTTGTTTTGTTCGAGAATAAATCCATTCATGACATCGATTGCACAGATGTGTCGTCACTGAAATGCGAAATATCTTTAAGATATGGCATGCCCACTGAAGATTTATACGTTACGGTCGATGGGAAGACTATTGCAAGTGATTTCATCCTCAAAAATTGTCAAAATATAGTTAGAATATCGACAAGGTTGGTTGGAGGAAAAGGTGGATTCGGTTCTATGTTACGAGCGATAGGCGCTCAAATTGAGAAAACTACGAATCGGGAAGCCTGCCGTGACCTCTCAGGACGTCGACTACGAGACATTAACGAAGAGAAGAGATTAAGAAAGTGGTTAGACGGACAAGAAGAGCGCGAACGTGAGGCTGCGGAAAGAAAACAAAAGAAAATCGAAAAGATCCTTGCAGAACCAAAAATAGAGGTGAATCTGAATCCGGAATACGAGAAGGAGCGTCAAGCGTTACCAGAACGGGTGAGCGCTGCTGTAGATGCCGGCTGGCAGAATGCTTCCACTTCTGAAGGCAATTTAAAAAGAAAAGCGGTTGACATTAAAGCCAAAAATAAGAAAAAGAAGTTATGGATTGATGCTGAGCTTTCAGATTGTTCATTGAGTGAGGATGATGATGCTGATGATATTGATGATGGAAACAAAGCCAGTCCAGGCCCTGCTCTGTCAACAGATAGCGGGAATGAATCTGAAAGGAGTAAAATGTGATTGTAACTGTTGGAACATTTAGTTTTATCATGGGAATACCTATAAACAGTGAACCTAACTATCTACTGAACTCATCACCACTGACTCTTAAATTCAGCTTGGGTGGCAGCATTTGTCACCAGCTTGTGTGATCAGATAAAATTGCATCAATGGATTAATTAGACTATGGATTAATGAAACAATAATGTTAAGATAATTTGTGGTGTTCATGTTGTGTAAATAGGCAATGGTTCTTGCACCATTCCATTAAACTTAACCCTCTCAGTGCAGTAAGTCTGGTTCTACATTAAAATTTTACCAAAAAGGTCGGTTGTGTTTGCTAGGGCATTATTCATAATCCAAAAATTGGCAAATCAACAGTTAAGAATTAATAGTGACTTATCTCAAAAAAGTCAAGTTAAATGTAGATAAAAAAACATTTCTTCGCTTCAGCTAATAAGTTACCAGAAAATTTGAAATGACTAAAAAGCGTAAATAAATGCTGGAAACTTTTAAGTAAACTTAAATTGTCTTAATATCGTCACATACTAAGATACCGTGAGTTAGGTGGTATTGGTTCAAAAGAGTTGAAATTATTTTTATCTACTAGATAGGGTGTTATTGTATGAAAACAACATAGTAAGGCATTAAATAGTTTATTAATCAATAGCATGGAATAAGGTTATTTTCCATACCTTACACTTGGTATCTTACAAATGAGGCAAAGAATCATAAAAGTTATGGCACTCTGCTCGTAGAACTTGTTTGCGTTCTTGCAGATGTTGGTATTTTGATGCAGTTATAGCAATCATGTTAATATGTAAGGCAAATATGATACATCATGATTGAAATGTTTTGATATGCTGTTTTATTCTCCAAACCCTCACTTATTTCTATAATAAAATAACATTGGAAGATGATGCAGTGTGAAGATTTTTACACCTGTGTTTTATTCAAGGGTGGAGTTTGTCTTCTTCATTTAGTATTTGGGTCCTATTTGTATTAGTTCTATTGGCGTTCGAACAATTAAGACATTGGAGAAAAAATTAGTTTTGGCTGGCTGAATGTGAAATATCCATTTTCATTTAGTATTTCCAAATATGAGATCAAATCACACCCAGGCAGATTTATGTTGTGGAGAAACAGTTCATACAGTTAGTGCATACAGTTTTGGTGTTAATATTAGGGGTTAAAGTATGAAATGGCCGATTTGTACTGAAAAATTGAAATTTGTTTTTTTTTTCATTTAAAATATTTAATTTTATTTAATCAAAATATCTACCATTATTATCTATACATTGCTGCCATTTAATAGGAAGGTCATTTATGCCTATGCGGCAGAACTCTGGTGATCTAGATTCTACAAACTGTGAAAGCATTCTGCAATGCATCCTGAGAAGAAAATTTTTATCACGTAGAAAATTGTCCAAATCACGAAAAATGGTAGTCCGTTGGAGCAAGGTCTGGCGAATACGGAAGGCGATGAATGGTTTCTAATTGTAGTTCCTGTAGAGTTAAAACGGATTTTCAGTTATTTTTTTTTTGCTTAGGCTTAGATGGGTGGACGAGCTCACGGCCTACATGGTGTTGAGTGGGTACCGGGACCCACACATCTACAACGTAAATGCCGCTACCCACCTTGAGATATGAGTTCTAAGGTCACTCAGTCGGTCAATAGTTACAACGGCTGCCCCACCCTTCAAACCGAAACACATTACTGCTTCACGGCAGAAATAGACAGGGTGGTGGTACCTACCCGTGCGGACGCAAATTATAATTTTGCGGGTTTGATTTTTATTACACGACAAGCGGTCCGCTCCGGCTCCGCTCGGGTATTTAACAAAAATTTCAACGATATTTGACGTTGTTTTATTTTTTAAAATAAAAGAACACTTATTGCGGCATTACTATAATAGTTAGAAATATGCTGTCGCGACACTTTTTGTATATAATAATGTGTTCTACAAAGTCGTAGTACATTATTTTATTCTATCATTAATACTTTTCGCAGGGCACGCGATGTAAAGAATATTTTAGGTAATTTATTTACACCTTGAGTTACATTATTGAAGTTTTAGTAAGGATCTCTAATTTTTTTCAAAAGATTTATAGCCTATGTCACTCGGGAATAGTACTTATAGCTTCCAAACAGTGAAATAATTTTTCAAATCGGGTCAGTAGTTTCGGAGCCTATTCAATACAAACAAACAAACAAATCTTTCCTCTTTATAATATTAGTATAGATGTTATTCCTTCACCGTGGATGTCAATCAAGAACATTTGTTAAGTACGTATTTCATTAAAAAAAATTAGTACCCGCCTATGGGATTCGCGTTATCATGGAGTAATAATGGTGAAGATCGATTCATGAGTCGGGGCTGTTTCACTGCAAGTTTTGCTATCAGACCACCAAACAGTTACCATTAGGTACCTTTTTTTACGTACGTACGATATATAAAAAACATGGGCTCTTGTAATTAATTACCTATCCTTATATAATGCACGGTACTGTAAATACATTTTAGGATTCAAAATATTTTTAAGTTAAGTTTTTTATCGCTTTGAATTGCATGGTTCATTTGTGTGGTGGTTACTGGTGCCTACAGACCTCACATTAGTGGAATCCTCAACTGAATAATGACTGTCACACTTTAAAAACTGGAATGCCTTGCCGCTGGGTGCCACGAGGTTCCAACTAGTAACACGCCCTACCATCAGTAGTAAATGATATAATCTCGTTTTTACCATCGCATCGCCCGCCACTGGAGTAGAGTTCATCCATACTACGAGGAGCCACTGCGGTCATCCACAGTGCGTTTCCAGAGGTCTTTTTTGCCACGCACCATCCGGCTATGGAATGAGCTCCCCTCCACGGTGTTTCCCGAGCGCTATGACATGTCCTTCTTTAAACGAGGCTTGTGGAGAGTATTAAGCGGTAGGCAGCGGCTTGGCTCTGCCCCTAGCATTGCTGAAGTCCATGGGCGATGGTAACCATTCACCATCAGGTGGGCCGTATGCCTTCTGCCTACACGGGCAATAAAAATATAAATATAAATCTATTAAAATTTTATAAATTTTCTGGATTTCCTCTTTTCGAAAATTCATCCATTAAGCTTCATCATTAATGATACATATTATGGTGTTTTTAAACTTGTTTAAATACGGACATTCCTTAAATATGAGGTGTATTTTTAAAGAAATATATTAATTTGACAGAAGAATAAATGGACGGTGCTCTTATTGGTGGCATTGTTGGCATTGGCTGCCGCGAGACCTCAGGAGTTCGACGATGACGAGGACGGCTCTAGTGATAAAAAAGGTAGGTATTAATTAAAGGAATTAAAGTTATCCACTTTATCTCAAGAAATAATTTAGTCATTATTTTATTCAATAATGACTAAATTATTTAAATTAAAAAATGATTTGTTTAAATACACTTCTTATTTTAATCTACAAATATAATGTGTGGATAATATCTATGATGTACTTTATAAGTGTGGAAGTGGTGTCAACGTTTTTTATTAAGTACACACGTACGTACATATTTTTGAAGATTAGTAGATTGAAGCGGTAATATCCGACAGTAGAGGCGTTTAAAGTGATATTAAGTGTATTATCTATGAAGATAGGTCATTCGCAACTTACCAGAGATAAGATCAGGTAGGCTGTGAGCTCGTCCACACATCTAATAAAAAAAAAATCGTGTCTCACGTCATGAGAGCCGGCATTCACGTTTTGCGTGGTCTTCTTTTATATGGATTGTGGTGGTCACGACAATGAGCTTTACATATTGTTTTTTCACAGATGACGTGGCTCGCGTACAAATCAAAGTTTACCGTGGACCTACAAAGCATGATGGATATGCTCCGTGGGGCTTCTGGGTCAAGCAGCCTTCCGACGAGGAGTGAAAGTCGAAGATAATCGTTATTTCTTTACGTCGTCGAAAATAGATGGCGCTAGATTAAATTTTATTAGAAAAACCAAAGATGTCTTAATCGCGATAGTGATCATATTATTAAATAAATAGTTTTTAGTTTTAATTCAGTATCATTTTTAATTGTTTTATATTGCATCTTAGCACCTAACTTAGAAAACCCTTAGTACTATTATGTGTATTAAATGTTGAGGGTTTTGTATTTTGACATAATTATTAATATGGTTTAGTGCAGACTTTTCACGTCTCCTACAAATCAAATCAAAAATTTATTTTTAAATCCAAAATTTTTTTATTCAACATAAATGAAAGTACATACTTGTTGAACGTCAAAAAGAACTACCGTCAATTCACAAAAACTAGCCTCCGTCCTGAGAAGAACTAGCAAGAAACTCAGCGGGCTGTCTTTTTTCTTTTTTTTTACTTTTTAAATATTAATTCACTTAAGTATACCGCGCAGCGAGAGATTGGTAGATGGATTCGCGATGTAGTTTACGCCTTGAGCTGCTAGTCATGCTCCCAGGGTACTAGAGCAGCTGTTTGTAAACTTACCCTTTCTGGATGAGCTATTGAGTTAGCCCAGCCGTCCTATCTAAGCGACAAAGTCTCTGGTCTAGACGTGATCCTGTCATCCCCAAAAAAAACACGGCTCGCAACCATAGAGTGCTCTATGACTTAAATACCTGCCTGATAATAAAACTATTAAAACACGTTAACTTTATTTCATCTTTTCCTTCTACTAATTATTTACTTCGAATCACGTTAATAGACACTAATGTAATTTAAATCGTTTTTGTTAAAATTGTATATGTACTTAAAATCTAATATAATTTATGAATGTCGACACCGTGTTATGCTGGCAGTAAAAGCAAAATGAAATCAATTTATGTCGTTTTATTGAATGGCTATATTTAACCTATGCTTTACCTATGCTGATAGCTTTAAGAGGCTATTTCAGCTTCTTCTTGACGTGTAGGTGAGCTCTCGGAGCTCAAACCGGGAGTGTTACTAACACTGACCCTAGCAAGAGCAGTGCTTCGCAGAATCTACCACCGGATCGGAAACGCGACCCACTGAGAAGATCCGGTGAGAAACTCAGTGGGATGTGTCTGTGGGTTAACTTACTCGCCGATCCCTTACAATTAAAAGCATTCATGTAAGACGTATGTGTAAATAGTAAAGGTGTATTTTCTTAACTCGCGAGCGGTGTTCGGGCCGAACCTTTGAAATGAATGGTCATATATTTATATTCTGACTGTCACAATCTTGTGCAACGTCGTCCACTTCCTTAGATACCCTCACAAAAGTGACAAAACTTAATGTTTGTACAATGATAACGTATCTATTGATAAAATCGATCCCGAGCCAGTAATAAAATTCTATTATTGAGTTAAACCGTATCATGACGAACGTCCAAGAGTCATATTAACAACAAAGAAAACTTGAGTCGATTTAAAAACAGTTCAAAGTGTATTTTTTTATTAAATAGTGCAGTTGAGATGTGCTTTGTCCGAGAAAAATAAAATAAGATGAGGATGACGAATGTATTTTTTTTGACCAATACATTTAGGAAAATAATAAGTGAGTATTAGTTTTGGACGAATGTATTATAGTTATACAATTAGTGTTGGGCTTTGGGATTTATCGGACTGTTTTGAGGAGTGATTTCAATTGTCTTTAATGATTTTTGGTACTTTTGTTAGCTATGAAACGAGCTAGAGTGACCTTACAGTGGCGTTGGTTTGGGACACGGTGCTCACTTGGGGTTCTGTGTTCAAGTCGCTTGACACGGTCGACGTGCGCTAACGATTCAAAATAAACAATATTAAGATTCCAATCGTAACTTGTTCAATAATTATTATTGTTTCTTATGAGATCCATGATTCCTTTAGCTAACACTATGGGTAAATAATAAACTAGCGAAGATCTTGTTGTTTATCCTTTCATCACGTTATTTTTTAAGGTTATTGTTTAAGTTTTTTTTAAATGTATAGTCGGATAGCGTGCAGTGATGCACATTTGGTGTTAAGTGGTTACTGGAGTTTATAGGCATCATGAGACATGAGACAATTGACTGCTGCGCGATCGAAATATGTAGGTGGTAAATACTCAACAGGCTTACAAAGCAGTCGAAGACTCGTAAATCTATACCAATATTATAAAGCTGAAGAGTTTGTTTGTTTGAACGCGCTAATCTCAGGAACTATTGGTCCGATTTGAAAAATTCTTTCAGTGTTAGATAGCCCATTTATTGAGGAAGGCTATATATAGACTATATAACATCACACTAAGACCAATACACGCGGAACACCAATAAGCAATGTTTCAAAATCGGGGTTATTTTTACCTTTTGAGAGCGTCCGCTGCGTGCGCTGCAGAAACGATTAAAGTTTCGCTAAAATAATGTATGACAGAATTGTTCCCCTTTAAAATACCTAAAAAAAAGTCCGCGACAGCTTATGCCTATATGTTAAGGTTGGCTCACTATAACGTTTTTTATGCTAAACAAATTTGTTCTAAAATAAAGCATTATTTGTGAACTATTTATTCCACGCGGACGAAGTCGCGGACAAAAGCTAGTGAGTTTATAAATGTTATGATAATGACATTTTATTTTTAGTGCGTCGGAGGATTTTTGTAATTCTACCGTTCTTGTTGGGATTGGGAGTTACCATTGTGGCCTGTAGATGGACGGCCGCCGTTGTCAGCCACGTCCTCCTACCACCAGGCCCACCGGATCAAAACTTGGAGCACTTCATTAGGAATAGGAGTTTAAGTCACTATTTTGATAATATGTGAGTATTAAAATAAAACGAAGTAGCTACTCCTTAAGGTAGCATGTTTTTTTTACCTACCTACCTATTCGCTGGTAGTAAGAGGCTATTTCAGATAGATAGTGACTGGTACGTGAGCTTACGGGGCTCAACTTTAAATAAAAAGCGAATACTGGGCCCAGCTAGAGCAGAATCTACCACCGGATCGAAATCGCGGCCGAATGTAGACCAAATAGAATGACAATTTAATAGCTGAGCATAATGTTGATTTTTGCATACATTAAGTGAATATATTATGTTTGGCCCCGGGAACGGTACGCTTACATTCTGTAGGTAGGAATTACCAGGTCTTTAAGTAAAGCAGCGCGACACAAGGCCCGTGTTTTACCATTTGACTCCAAAACCCTAAAGCGCCGTTACACAGCTTTAGATTAAAGATAATTTCGTAATATTTTTCAGTCAAATCCTCATAGAGCCGTCCGCGCCTTGCCCAGGGTCGGACATTCCTGTGGTAGCGTTGGTAGCTACGACACCATCACGGTTTGACCAGAGACAAGCCATCAGAGAGACGTGGGCTAAACGTGTGCTTACTTACTTCTTTATGGGCTTGGAAGGAGGGAAAATCGATGAAAGCATGGTGAGTACAACAAGGATATTTAAATTGGTCGCCATTTTTTTTATTGCTTAAATTTGTGGACGAGCTCACAGCCCACCTGGTGTTAAGTGGTTACTGGAACCCGTAGACATCTACGACGTAAATGCGCCACTCACCTTGAGATATAAGTTCTAAGGTCTCAAGTATAGTTACAACGCCTGCCCCACCCTTCAAACCGAAACGCATTACTGTTTCACGGCAGAAATAGGCAGGGCAGTGGTACCTACCCGCGCGGACCCACAAGAGGTCCTACCACCAGTAAAGTCCCTCACTGAAGTCCCTCGTTAGCAATCTATCGAATGGGTCAATTTAACTTTTTGTCTAGGTAGATATCTACGTAGAAGCCAAAGAACACAGCGATATGGTAATATTGAACTTCCACGAACATTATCAGAACTTAACCTTGAAGACTGGTTTCATGCTAAAGTGGACTCTAGAGCGATGTGCTACCGCCAATTTTCTACTTAAAATCGACGACGATGTCTTCTTAAATCCTTGGAACTTGGAGCAGGTCATGAGGGGAAAGGAACGTCACAAATTGATTGGTGAGCATTATTGATTAAACGTCTTCGATAAAGATTATTTTTATTCTACCTACGCCGAAAGTTCGGTTTTCCTCCCGCTGTACAGGGAAGAAAGTGTAACTTTTCCTCTCGCTGTACAGGGAAGAAAGTGTAACTTTTTCTCCCTGGGCACAAGTGTCATGCGCGTTAGTGTCTACGTCTGCTCTCACGCACCTAAAATTCTCCGCCATTGTTGTGCTCGGCTAATTTGCAATATTGTGTTTAGTGTAAAAGTGAAATAAACAAAAGGCAATAATATTTAATATTGAAGTATTAAACAAAGATGAGTTCATCAGACAGTTCTTATTACAGTTAAACTGTGTTTTTACGAGCCTACACCCTGCCAGGGCTTCGCCCCTGAACCTCGGCTCGGTACTCCATGAAGTTTCGGCCTGGTAGGAGGAAAAATAGTATGTGCACCAAGGGAGAAAAGTAGGACATTTCCTCCTGCGTGTAAAATGGCAAACACGCGGGACGAGATGTGAACAATGTACTATTGAGTTTGGACTTGACTACACTGTCAACCATTAGTACACTTTAGTGAATTTACGTGAAAAAAATTAGTCCAGTCCGAAATGTTACTGTGCACTTTGAAACTTATATCTGCGGTTGTTGATTCTGTATCAACATCACAAATTGTTGCAACCCACCTGAATAGTCAGCACCGCCCTTAGACAAAGGCAAGGTTGTATCTTGAGTGTGTACGGTGCAATGATACATTATGAATTTTCTCAAGCCTTGTTTGTAGCGCTTCATGTGTTTCTGACGCACAAAAACTGCGACTTATCATGTTAGGTAATGATGGTTTTAAGAATCCAGACTTCGGCGACTCCCTGACCCGTGCAATTGAAGACCTTAATGACGTCGAAAATAAGGGACATTTTGCCTTTAATCCCTGAGATCTTGATCGGAGTAGTTGGTAGAGTTATCCTCGGGTAGGGGCCCGCTCGACGGAGCGCTACTCGTTGTACTTCAGTAAACTATAGATGCCTCTTAAAACAGCAAGACTCGTGGCCGCCACTGCTTACGTTAGCAATAGACCGGTACAAGAATTTGCAGTAATGAATTAGGGAATAAGCTGAATTGATTATAATTATGTTCCTCTTATTGGCAACTTGCGGTATTTTAATTTCTTCGGTAGGGGACCTTGTGATCCGGTCAGGTACCCGGTCACCGTCCTCGTCGAACCCGTCGCTTGTGACGAAGGCCTCGACGAGTAAAGTAACCATAAACACAGTCCACTGAGTTTCTCGCCGGATCTTCTCAGTGGGTCGCGTTTCCGATCCGGTGGTCGATCCTGCGAAGCACTGCTCTTGCTAGGGCCAGTGTTAGCAACACTCTCAGATATCACGTAAACTAGAGAAGCGAGAGTGCCCTCAAAATACATGACAAAAAAAATTAAAAAGGTTGGCAAAGGTTGTGTTTTGACATTCTAAATTATTACAGGATACAAAATCAAGGATTCAACTGTACACCGAGATCAGTATACGAAATGGTACTTACCCCGGTGGCTGTATAGCCGTGATGTGATCCCGGAATATCTGGCCGGACCGGCCTATGTCGTAAATAGTGAGTTTGTTTTGTTTAAAGCGTCTGCGCACTTTTAAAATCCTAAAAACTTTTCTTTGCTGTTAAAATATTAGAAAGAAAATTGCGTTTTTTGCATCTGAAAACAGATAGTGTACGCTTCATCTGATGGTGGGTGATCAGCTCCTTACGTTATTATAGTATTATTAGTGTTTGAGCTATGGCATTAAATTGAAAATTATTTTATTACGAACACTGAATTTTTTGCTCGTTTATCCCGACTATAAAATCCTTTGACTTGTCCGACACGTATTAGTCTAATTTTAATTATAATAATGTGTAAAAACCCCCTTTTGAAAAATACATTGTTTTAGCGACATCTACCGTTCGTCAGTAGAAACAACAAGTGACACCTGCTGTTAGCAATGAAAGATTAAACGCGCCAAATCATTTAATTTTTTTGCCCATTTGATTATTTTTGTTTTTGCTCTCGATGGCTCACGATTTCTATGACACAAAGTGATCATCGGAGCCCACAGATATCAACTACAACGTGCCGCAAATCATTTTAAAACACGATTCCTCATTTTTCCGAGACGATCTATTAAGGATGTACATGCATGCTCACGTTTAAGCCATTGTTTTTAAATTGCTCGTTTGCTTAATAATATAAGTAAGCATATTAAAATGTTATTTCAATTTAACACACTATAAATAATAATATTAATGTATTGTATCTAACAGGCGTCGCTTGAGTTTTTGTGACATTTCATAATTACATTCAGCTTAGGGGAAGCGAATAGTTTTACTTAGTAAATTAAAATGTCCACCGTGAATCGTATTAATATTTTCAGCGAAGCACATCGCGGAGATTTTACAGGAAGCAAAGAAGACACCGCTGATCAATTTAGAAGATGTATATTTCACTTATCTAGTCTCCAGGGAAGGTTTAGACTTTGAATTGACTCACGAAAGAACTTTCAGCCCGCACAAGCCCTTCCTGCTGTGCTCATACTGGAGCCTCACGACTGTTCACAGTTTAACTGATACAGAAATGCTAAGCGCTTGGAAAAGTTATAATGACGACGCCAAACAAAATAGTACTTTATGTGGCTTTCACTTTCCGCCGCTGCGATGAGCTATGAGAATATTGTTTAATTTCAGTGATTTCTTATTATGGAAATGAATTGGTTATTGTACTTAGAGGCAGAACCGACGGTATGTTTTAGTTCTCTGGTAAGATCCGTCTCATTTCCCTAATTATATTAGAATTGAGGGGACAAATTCATGTAAAGCATCTAAATAATGGAAGCGTATCGCATAAGCTGCTAGTTTGTAAGGCCCTTCGTGTATTAAATTGAATATTAAGTGTATTATCTATGGTATTAAATTGGAATTAATGTGAAAATAAACGTAACAGTGCCATCTACCGGTATCTTGTGAAAACTATGTTGAAACTATTTAAAATTAAGTGCCTACTTACGTAAAATATAAAATAAATACATTATAAATTAATGACAATAAAATAATATAATAATGTAAGAATTAAGATTAATTGTACTGTAACAATGCAACGAGTAGTTATATAAAATATTTCTGTATGTATTTCTCTAAAGAAAACTCAATTTCTTTCAAACAGCCTATATTTCCACAGTCAAAATATTTCATCGTCTTTTGTCATCATGAAGTGGATGGTAGACGGCCGCATTTATGCAATGAAAACAATAATAAGCACTAGGCTTAGTTTATAATATGTATAAATATTAAACACCGAACACTACGTATGAGATTCAATTCTCTCGACGTATGCGGTTTTGAACCTTATTTTTGTTTTCACATGTGCGTAATTCCGTCACAGCGCGTAATTATAAACAAATTAGAAGTTTAATAATAAACTGAAAATAAAATATCATGTATATCTGATAAGAATCCTCAGTAAAAAAATATATATATTAAAATATTTTTCCATATTTTTGTGTGTATAATTTTGTACCGAATTAGACTATTTGGCAACATTAATTTTCATCCTACTAATTATGTCCACGGGATAACAGCCGTGGCCGTAATAATAGTTCTGTCTAAATCTCTCTATACTATTAGAAAATAAAGCTAACAGAATCCAACAGATGTGAACGCAGCTGTTTGATAAGTTACATTGTGTTTTTCATTTATCTTTTTAACTTTTTTATGACCACAATTTCAATTACGAAGCACAGGCGCTGATTTAGAGCCATTGAAATAATTAGCAATTATTTATAGCGGTCCTACGATCTGTACCGATGGTAACAAGAACGTTCTGCGAGTTTTTTAACTTTATCGATAGCCTTTTTTTTTCCTACCTAAGCTGGTAGCCTGGAGCGGCTATTCCAGCGTAACCGTGGCTAGTAGGTGAGCTCACGGGGCTCAAACCTGACGACGATGCTAACACGAACCCTAGCAAGAGCCGTGCTTCGCAGAATCTACCACCGGATCGGAAACGCGACTCACTGAGAAGATCCGACGAGAAACTCAGTGGGCTGTGCCTGAGAGTTAATTTACTCGTCGAGCCCTTCGTCGCAAGCGACGGGTTCGACGAGAACGGTGACCGGTGCTTGAAGTACCTAGAAGCACCGTTAGTGGATCGGGAGGATCCGAGATGACGTGTTTTGGGCGACGTCGACTGCTTTCCATTCTGTCCGCAGGATCGGGAATGTCGATAGCCTAAAAGTTAACTCAAATTTATATGGAGTTGAATCGTTTGCCTGCGTTTGCCGCCAGGGGCGCTGTTCCAACTGCATACAAATTTGAGTTAATTTTTACGCTGTCAAGAACGTTAAAAAACTTTTACTAAGTACAGTGCGACGCTTGAAACGCAAAAGTGACTAAGCGACAATAACTGCTTTGTACATAAATGATAGGCAATAACCATATTCGATGCGCAAAAAATATATATTTCTAGGTCTATTAAAATCATTTCAATCCTACAGCTAGATTCGTTACAATAGAATTTTTTTCAGATATTTTAACATTAAATTAGTCTACTGTAAAGTCCACGCATTGTCGCTTAGTCACGTTTGCCTTTCAAGCGTCGACTGGTTTAGGTTACTTGATTAGTGAAGTTACGTGAAGCAACACCGTGGCCTTCGATTCACGATGAATTTCCGGAAGAATTTCCTAAAATTATAAGCTGCTGTACTGCTGCTGTGTTAATGAAAATTGAGTTCTGTTCATATTAAGGTTAAATTTAGGTTAAAGACTTCGAGAATGTTTCATTTACGTCTGGTACTGATGTGCTCATTCATCCCTTTGAACTACATATTTATAATGTTTCGGAAAATAAGCCGTCATTACGGTATGATATCTGATATCCTCGTCCTTGGGTCCGTAATCCTCCCATGCTGAGGGTCGTGGCCTCATGAGGCTTTCTTGGGAAAATACACATGGTGGGGTCCCGCATTCTTCCACAGCAGGTCTTTTGGAAGCCTGTGGGTCCGGCTAATTAACCGCCGCCAGACATTCGGTGTTGACTGTTTTACGGCGGAAAGATCGAACTCCAACTTAACCCTAATATTTTCTCATTCGGTCTTGGGACCGGCATTGGCAGAGTTGTGAATCTTATTATTATTATATCTGATATAGGGTATGATATATTATATGATATGGTATGATGTGGTATGGTGTATTATTATTATTATTTTTTATTGCTTAGATGGGTGGACGAGGTCACAGCCCACCTGGTGTTAAGTGATTACTGGTGCCCATAGACATCTACAAACGTAAATACGCCACCCACCATGAGATATAAGTTCTAAGGTCTCAGTACAACGGCTACCCCACCCTTCAAACCGAAACGCATTACTGCTTCACGGCAGAAATAGGCGGGGTGGTGGTATCTATTCGTGCGGACTCACAAAAGGTCCTACCACCAGTGAATTGGTGGTTTTTTTTTTTTTTTTTTTTTTTTTTTTTTNCGTACCATCCGGCTATGGAATGAGCTCCCCTCCACGGTGTTTCCCGAGCGCTATGACATGTGCTTCTTCAAACGAGGCTTGTGGAGAGTATTAAGCGGTAGGCAGCGGCTTGGCTCTGCCCCTGGCATTGCTGAAGTCCATGGGCGACGGTAACCACTCACCATCAGGTGGGCCGTATGCTCGTCTGCCTACAAGGGCAATAAAAAAATAAAAAAATACCTAAAAAAAAGTCCGCGACAGCTTATGCCTATATGTTAAGGTTGGCTCACTATAACGTTTTTTATGCTAAACAAATTTGTTTTAAAATAAAGCATTATTTGTGAACTGTTTATTCCACGCGGACGAAGTCGCGGGCAAAAGCTAGTGAGTTTATAAATGTTATGATAATGACATTTTATTTTTAGTGCGTCGGAGGATTTTTGTAATTCTACCGTTCTTGTTGGGATTGGGAGTCACCATTGTGGCCTGTAGATGGACGGCCGCCGTTGTCAGCCACGTCCTCCTACCACCAGGCCCACCGGATCAAAACTTGGAGCATTTCATTAGGAATAGGAGTTTAAGTCACTATTTTGATAATATGTGAGTATTAAAATAAAACTAAGTAGCTACTCCTTAAGGTAGCATGGTTTTTTTTTTACCTACCTACCTATTCGCTGGTACTAAGAGGCTATTTCAGATACACAGTGACTGGTACGTGAGCTTACGGGGCTTAAACTTAAATAAAAAGCTAACAGTGGGCCCAGCAAGAGCAGAATCTACCACCGGATCAAAATCGCGACCGAATGTAGACGAAATATAAGGACAATTTAATAGCTAAGCATAGTGTTGATTTTTGCATACATTAAGGGAATATTTTATTTTTGGCTCCGGGAACGGTACGATTACATTCTGCAGGTAGGAATTACCAGGTCTTTAAGTAAAGCAGCGCGACACAAGGCCCGTGTTTTACCATTTGGCTCCAAAACCCTAAAGCGCCGTTACGCAGCTTTAGATTAAAGATAATTTCGTAATATTTTTCAGTCAAATCCTCATAGAGCCGTCCGCGCCGTGCCCAGGGTCGGACATTCCTGTGGTAGCGTTGGTAGCTACGACGCCATCACGGTTTGACCAGAGACAAGCCATCAGAGAGACGTGGGCTAAACGTGTACCTACTTACTTCTTTATGGGCTTGGAAGGAGGGAAAATCGATGAAAGCATGGTGAGTACAACAAGGATATTTAAATTGGTCGCCATTTTTTTTATTGCTTAGATGGGTGGACGAACTCACAGCCTACCTGGAATTAAGTGGTTACTGGAACCCGTAGAAATCTACGACGTAAATGCGCCACCAACCTTGAGATACCATTCTAAGATCTCAAGTATAGTTACAACGGCTGCCTCGCCCTTCAAACCGAAACGCATTACTGCTTCACGGCAGAAATAGGCGTACCTACCCACGCGGACTCACAAGAGGTCCTACCACCAGCAATCACAAGAGGTCCTACCACCAGTAAAGTCCCTCACTGAAGTCCCTCGTTAGCAATCTATCGAATGGGTAAATTTAACTTTTTGTCTAGGTAGATATCTACGTAGAAGCCAAGGAACACAGCGATATGGTAATATTGAACTTCCACGAACATTATCAGAACCTAACCTTGAAGACTGGTTTCATGCTGAAGTGGACTCTAGAGCGATGTGCTAACGCCAATTTTCTACTTAAAATCGACGACGATGTCTTCTTAAATCCTTGGAACTTGGAGCAGGTCATGAGGGGAAAGGAACGTCACAAATTGATTGGTGAGCATTATTGATTATACGTCTTCGATAAAGATTATTTTTCTTCTACCTACGCCGAAAGTTCGGTTTTCCTCCCGCTGTACAGGGAAGAAAGTCTAACTTTTCCTCCCTGGGTACTGACAAGTGCGCATGCGCGTTAGTGTCTACGTCTGCTCTCACGCACCTAAAACTCTCCGCCATTGTTGTGCTCGGCTAATTTGCAATATTGTGTTTAGTGTAAAAGTGAAATAAACAAAAGGCAATAATATTTAATATTGAAGTATTATTATTATTATTTTTTTATTGCCTTTGTAGGCAGACGGGCATACGGCCCACCTGATGGTGAGTGGTTACCGTCGCCCATGGACTTCAGCAATGCCAGGGGCAGAGCCAAGCCGCTGCCTACCGAATTAAACAAAGATGAGTTCATCAG